AAGAATTGTAATGCGGCAGCCATTTATGAAAGTGGTCTACTGAGTCAAACAACCTGACGTCACAGGTAAAGTTCACGTGACCTTTTGGCCGCGCGTTCGAGGGGACAAATTTCAAGCCAACTTAGCGCGTAGTTTAAACGAAAACTATGTATTTATAATTATTTTCAACGATTTTTAACTCTCGAACCGTTTGTTATATATATCGAACTAGCAGAAAACAAAAAAAAAAAATTTCATGTCATATACACTTTAATCTCTGCTTCTCACGAGAAGCAATTTAATATTCCATCTAAATAATTCTGCATGGCAAAAGTTGGTGGATATTAATTTAACAAGATTAGCCGCAATTAAGAATAAAAAACATTCTCGAAGTAATAATTAAAAATTATCGTTGAAGCATGTTCCTCTTTCAGAACATTAGCCTTGCTCATTAGGAGACTTTCCTTCAACTGATATTGAAATAACCAAGAGAAAATACTGTTTCGAGTACATGGAAAATAAAATTACAAGTGGGTAAAAAAGTCTATTTTTATGGCTTTAGTTTTATTTTCTTTTACTCGACATGGCTCTCGACTGAACTTTTATCATATCGTACTTGTTTCTTATGAATACCAGAATTTATTCTACAGCAAATGCCACAAGTCTCCTACTCGTAGGTTTGGCGGAAAAGTGAAGTGCGACTCGTATTTTAAAACATACATAATACGTTTCTCTCTTAACTTTCTAGAGGGCTTACGCATAGCGAGATCTGCGAAACATGACGACATTGAAAAACAGAATTTATACAATTTCAAAGCAGAAGATAACGTTGATAGAGATTATTGTTTACAGAAAAGGTTCATTAGTCAAAATCTCAAAAGCCACCAATTCAAATGAAAGGAAATTAACTTGCAAAGAAATACCTAACAATTACAAGTGACTAATTTGCTTATTCAGCACATCTTACCTCAGTTAAATGTGAGTTCTCCGTTACCTTAGGAAACACAGCTGATTATTGCTCATCCAAAACGACTGGCAACTGCTAATAACCTCGTGTTAATCGTAAAATTCAGAAACTGAACAAGACGAGCGTTTTACCTACTACATTCAATATTTAGCTTGTCGATGACTCATTAATGACGATGGAGTCATTGATTTGAGGACGGTGTTCAGGAAATGCTGACAGACTCCGTAAGATATATGCTGAATTTGAAAAGTAATCAATTTAATCCGCCGTCTCTGAGGTGATCAACATCAAATTGCTCGTCAACAGAAGTGACACGCGACGCGAGAAGTAATATGTACCGCAAATGAATTCTCGGCCGATGCTATGAGAAATGCACTGCGATTACTGTTTGTCGTAAAATTATTTCTATCTGGAATAAAACTTTTAAAAATGAAACTCTTCTGAATAAGTAATAAATACATCTATGTTGGCTGTTATTTTACCAGCTAATTACGTGCCATAAAAGAACGACAAAAGGAAACGGGTCGAAGTTGGATGGAATAGGGCTTTCATGTAGAGAACAAATTAAGTCCAGTTTCTATATCGCCAAAAATTACTTTCTCTGTGGGTTGATGATGTAAATAGGCATCCCCTATAGATTCTTGATTATTTAGGCATGGGAAACATAAATTAACAAATTCCATTCATGGATAAGACCCTTTTTGAAAAGCCAATATCTCATCACTTCAACTGAATGCTCACTCATGAAAGTTCGCGCAGAACATGAATTGTCCCGCCCCTGTCTTTCTGCAAATAGCTAGTCTCCTTGCTGAAATAAACAACCACAAATGGGGTCCTTACCTAAGTCTTTTTAAACATAAATAGCCAGGAGGAAGCTACGCTATTTTACTTAAGCTTGTCGCTTCAGTTTTGTCAATTAAATATCATATCACTAAAGTTGATTGAAATTTAAGAGGCTATGAATGGTACACTTTAAGATGATGAGTAAGGGCGTTTAAGTTTAGCTCAGCACGACCTACAATGCGCTAAATTAAGAATATAGCCTTAAATCATAACATGGCTCATCTAAAGGCAACGTTTTAGCTTAAATTGCTCCAGAAGTTTTGGCAGTGCATGTATAACGCGACGCAAACATTAGCGATGAAATTGAGGAAACTGATCGAGAGATGTTCAATATATGCAATTCGACATTTGATCAAATCCTTCGACTTTCATTACCCACTTAGCCTTAACTCGGACGATAACTTTCAGACGTTTCATTCCTCTTGAAACATTTCTTGACGGCCAGATGACACAGTAGTATTAGAAGCTCTAAGAACTCAGCCAGAGTTAGCACAGAGAACCCAATCCATAGGCCAAGTTGACCACCAATGTCCGACACAAAGTTGACAAGCTGAAGCAGAAAATGAACAGGAGTTAGAAAAATTTCTAGGCCATAACATTTACGGCAGTAATAATTAGAAACAAAAGAGATACCCGTACGATTCGTTTTGATATTTTTGTGTAAGAGATCTTATCCATGACTACAAATGGTACATTAATATTGAAGTTTTGTTTAAGAATCGAAGATAAGTTCTTTAAAGTATTGCCCGATTATTCTTGCAGTGGACAATATCAGTTCTAGAGCGTTTGTCTTAACTGAGCACCCTATAAACAAAGTGCTTATGTTCAGAGAGTTCGTATTGTTGTTTGGTATCGTGAGTTGAACTGACTTCAATTGAGTCCCATTCCCTCTTTCACTGCAAAAAAATAACAACAAAAAATGTTTTCGTACTTCGAACTAGATGATGGCACGACTGAGCTTTACAAAATAGTGTCTAAAAGTCGAGTTTCTGATTTGATAACAACTGCTGAGCAAAAACAATGTTCCTCGTTTCGTCTGCCGGGAAAAAAGCAAAAGAAACTACTTTATGAGGGTAAGTTCGGGTATTTAGGTTTTTCATTCGGCACTTTTAACTCTGAAATACAAGTAGGTCTGTAGTTGATTTTCCTCTTTTCTTTTTATTATTTTGGTTTTTGTAAATGCATGGCTCGTTATGTTTTTCTTCTTGCAATGTCAGTTGAAGCATTATCTAGTCACCTTCTAAGTAAAGAACCCCTCAACGATCGACAGCTTATTGTAATTCCTTTCCTTCTGTAAGTATTTTAATGTCTGATCACCCTGCTCCGAAATAAGATAAATGTCATTGAACAAGTGGGCTACAAAAAAGAAAAAAATCTTTTTATTCTGCTAATCTACTCACTTCATATGAGCGCTGCTCTGAAACGACCTCCACGTCAAGATCTTCGAAGAAAACTTGTAGTTTCAAAACATTCTTTCTGTGATCATGAAGATAAATTACCATAAGATATATTAAAATATCTAGTAATAATCAGCTTATGAGAGTATTTTTCATTAGTTCCGTCGCCAGTTGATGATTGAACAAGTTCCTTACCTGTGGGACCCAGATTTGGTGATGAGTAGTTTCTTGTAATTTTCAATCACTATGTCTTGATAATATTTCTTTGAAAAGAAGAACACAAATACAAGCAATTTAAAGGAACATAATTCTGGATAGAAAATGGAATTAATTCGAAAGTTTCTTACATAAAAACATTTACACTGTAGCAAGGACATAAATGATTGATTGATTGATTGATTCCTGGCATGGGGTGCATAGTACCCAAGTCTTTGTGCAATTATATTAGAACCACAAGTGACACACTTATGCATATCCATCTCCCCCACTTCTCACTTTCTTTGCTGGAAAATTCCTCTTAATATTTCAGAACTAAATAGATTACTGGAAAATTCCACGAATTCCGCTTTGCTAGAACATTTTATCAAACATGTATTATCATGACAAAGATTTTGCTCGACAGTGTTTGTGGGTACATTTTTTTACCTCATAGTTCTGTGAAGGCCAGGTAGCGAATGAAGAACTTATTTTGAACTCTTCCAGTCTGTGAAAGGAAAATTAAGAAATTTTTTACAACAGATGATAAATAGAAATGGTTATTAAGATTTCATGACGCCGGTCCATTACAATCTTGGGGAGAGATGCAATTTGATAGGAACGACTTCAATCAATATCGCACTCCAAGAAAATGACCCGGCTGTGCTGCAAATCTTACCACTAAGCTTCATCGGCGCGGGCTGATGTGTCTTTTAAAAGAGAAAACACACAGTTACTGAGATATAAAGATGATTATTTACCTGCATGGAGGTGGACACGACTGGGTGCAATTCAATTTGTTGTTTTTATAGAGGTTTTGAACCTCGCTCAGGCACTTCACTGAAAGACAAAATCAACGCCAGAAATTTAAAATCATATTAGACTTCAAAAAATAAGGGACAAATCTACAATGAGGCAAAATTATTTACAATCCTTACGTGTTTTAATGTTCGTAACGCTGCAAATGTTAAATAGTCCCTCTGCTGGAAATCTGTATTCCACACAACCACATTTATCGAATTGGTTGTATGCTAAACATGATTCCTTACAAGCCTAAAAGGGAAAAATGGTTGAAAATCGATTAAATCAAGAAATCGGCATTAGTATTTTCAAGAAATCAACTAAATATTAATGAACGCATTCCAGAACCGAAAAAAGACGCATCAAAACTAATCATAGTAACAGTTGTAAGTTTCCGATTATTCATAAACTCAAAATTCCACGCTCAAAACCACAAGAAAGCAGAAAAGCAGAAATGAAGATCTACCAGTTAAAAGAAACATTCGTTTCAATCAGCAAAGACTATCTCACAGTCAAAATTACCACTTCTATCCTAGGATATGGCGTAGATATCATCCATCAATCATTCGGCAAAAAAAAAAAAACAGGAACTCGGAAAGTTCCTTAAGTTGTAACAAATATGGAATAATCAATCACCTATGAATTTTGTAATTGATAACAAACTCAGCTAAACTATAATTCTTATCTACACTATGCTTTACCGTGGACGAGTAGGATACGTTAAAAAAGCGAGTGTAAAAGTTATGGTCATCACGATCAAATGAATTCAGGCAACGCTTCGTGTTGAAAGGGTCTTTTCTTTCTTTGATTATCTGTAGAAAGATGTACCAAGTTTAATAAACAGGGGGAATGCTTGACACTAATAAGAGAGAAAACCATGAAAAAAGCCAAACACTGCTGGCGGGAGATATCTTGGCGCAATGAAATAATTAGAAAGCAGAACCGTTAAATTGATATTCATTAACCGTGTGCTACTACAATTCGGCAAAACTGTCTAGGTCCATCCAGGTAACAATCACTAACTAATTCCACACATTTAACAATGGCAATTACAGTATGTATACTACTCCTGCTGGTTTCTATGACAGCGGTAGATGTAAATACATCGCCACAAATCTCTGCTTGTTCGGTGCTAAAGAAAAACAGCATACTTTACCTTTCTGAGTCCAAGCATCGTAGCATACCCTGGCGCCAAACTCACTCCTTTTTCCAAAGGAAATGGCATTTCCCCCGCTTTGGAGATATCCACTCTTATTCCTGCCTGTGGAGTCAGTTGGCCGATGTATTCTTCTTGATCAATATTAATTTCAAGATTGAGACCTTGGAATCGAAGCAGAAAAAATCAAGCTATATAGGTAGCAGCACTGAAGCCTTAACACAGGGAAGAAAGGACAATATGGGAAACACTTTTAAAGAAATTTTGGTGCTGCTACAGTGGAGGAAATATTAAGAGATAATTTGGTTTTATCAACTGAGTTGATAAAGTGAAAATGGCCACCGTAGAGAATTTCAAAAGCTGATGTTTCGAGCGTTACCCCTTCATCCATTACCAACTCAGTTGATAAAACCAAACTATCAAGAAAGAGGCTAGCCTGTTTAGCATGAGCAGCATAAGTCCTCAAACAAACGTACTTTTCATGATCATAATTCCCTGCTTCGGGCAAGAAAAAATGGGGTGTAATCGGTTATGAATAACGGTTTATTTAATGAGTTTAAAATTGTTCTAATCAAAGGAAGAGAGTTACTGTTGTAGATACCTTCAGAAGGCCCTGGATTGTTCGATCTCAAAATGTCCACTGGGACTCCATTAACTTGTCCACCGTTAAACACAAAACAGTTTCCGTACTTGTAATGCCAGAATGATGTCCAGTTCCATGTTGTGTAGTTTCTAAAAAAAAAGACGAAGAAAAGGAACAAGTTGAACTGGAAGGGCACAACCTGACTGCATGATATTCTTGCTTATGCAGTGCCTGTTTCTTAGAATTTTTCATTATCTAAGACAATCCCCGTGACTGAAATGAAGCTGATGACAGATTTTCCTCGGTGAATCCCGATGTTATACAGCTATTATCAAAGTTAAAAATCTGTTGAAGTTGGACAAGCTCCCTCACCTGCATGACATTCCTCTAAATGTGCAAGACATGACCATATCACTAAACTGATGTCCCAGCAAAGTAAGAATCTGCACGTCCTCTTTTGCTAAAAACACTGACATTTCCTCTCCACTTTGATATCTCGAATCAAGTTCTTCTGGGTCCTGGAAGTCTTCTTGGCTCCACTCGGTGTCGTCTGTGTTGCTGGTTTCAGATACTTCTTCAGAAGTATCGTTACCCAGCACTTTTGACGAATCTGCAAATAGGACAAAAATCTCAACTTGACAATTCGCACATGTCAGTAGTCATCAGTGAGTGCTGCCAAAGGTAGAGGAAATCTTCTAAAAAATTCTTTGATATATATTTCTTTCTACTTTACATGTATCCAAACGTAATTAATTCCTTACTTTGTGCTTGCAGTTGTTGGACGATTTGCGTGAGCTCTGTATCACCTTTTTGAAATGTGAAGTTCTTCAAAGCATTGAAATTACAAAAGGTTACTGCAGGAAATTCCAGACTCTGATATGATAAAGGTAACTTGCAGTTAGCAACGCATGTTCGTAAACAGTCCTGGAAATATCTTGCCAGATACAATGCCAAAACTTTAATGAACTTCAACCTTAAAACAGAAATCGTTTCTACAAGGTTAGATAGCTATTGTGTTGCTAGCTTCAAAATACCAATGAATTTATTGGGTGTTGGACAGTTGAAGTCCTCATAAGGACAAAAGATCATGAAATTTTGGCGCTTACTTGAAGTAAATTATTCATTTGGATTATAGGATCTTCACTGTTTCTGTCATAAAGGCCATGAATTTCCACTCGGACTTACCGTCTCTGCTTTTACTGTGACTAAGGTTGTCAGCGGTCGCCTCCGATACTTGTCAAACAAAGCGTGTACTTGAATACAAAGCATAGTGACAGCGCCAATAAACAGTAAACTCCAAAACACTTTCCTGACCCAATAACTGACAAAATATATTCTCCCCAGACCGTGCGCTGTTGTACTGTCACAAAACTCCCGAATGACTGAAGTGAAGTTGGATTTGGTTCCACCTGCCTTTTCATCTTCTTGTTTTGCCTCAGGAGCTTCCATATCAACCCTCATCATAAATTGTCCAGAAGTGATTACGACTTCTTTAGGAACACATACAACAAAGAAAATAAGAAGACGAAACAGTATGTAAAATACTTCCTTATCTTGTTAGTTCCGCGAGCATACAGAATTTAATAACTTACAGTGATCTTTGGTTGTTTTGCTGTCTTGTCTATTATATGTAACTGGTCGTTAAGAGTTTTTAATGCCTAAGAGTCTTTTCAAAGTGATATAATTTTTACTGCTACACGTTTCCTAGTATATTAGCGTTAACCCGAATTGTTTTCTATCGAACTTCAATTTATCGGGAAAAGTTTTGAAGAAACCTCCTTTTTTCCAAGCCGGCTTATCACTCTTTCATTTAAACAGTTCGATTTGTTTAAAAAAAGATAAATTTATTACGGCATTATTCTATCACCTTATCAATTTAAACGTTCTTTCCCTCAGACTTTTCTACCTTACTGTAGCTACTTCAGGCTTTTAAACGTACTTTGTTATTTTTATCCTCTACACAGAATAAACGTTTAGAAACCTTCATGGAAATATTTAACAGACCCAACTTACCTTAGCCTTACACTGCACAACCCAGTGCTGCAATAATATAATTACGTAAGGTCAAATCGACTTATCAAATTAGTTGTAACTCGGCGGGGGTCATTCATTTTTGCATTAGTCATCATCCAGTTTAAAAGGTTTTTTGCAAAATATCAATTTTTTAAACTGTGAATGGAAGCAAATTAAAACAAGGGTCGTTGAGATGCACATAACAAAACATACAAAACGAAATTTAGACGATCCGACGGAGACGTCTGATATAGTCTGCATCCAAGGTTACCTGCATCGACGGAGACGTCTGATATAGTCTGCATCCAAGGTTACCTGCATCGACGGAGACGTCTGATATAGTCTGCATCCAAGGTTACCTGCATCGACGAAAATTCGGGAATAGTAGGAGATGATGAATGTATTTGCTTCAATTCCCAAAACATGATTACATGACATTGTTTTGAACGGGCTATTTTTCGGTAAACACCTCTATTCTATAATAGGGTAAATTACATCATGCAAGGCTTCAATTCCACAACTAACTGAGTTCATGTGAGTTTGATTGTGATTCTGTTTCATTCATAAACCACCCTCTTATTTCAGTAACGATTTCCGTTCCTTTCTGCTGTTCAGAATTAGAGGGAATTAAGTAAACTGGGTAAGCGTGAAGCAAATGAGATACCATATTTAACAAATTGCAAACAATAATAAAAACTTAATTCAAGCCAGGCCTCACTTATCCTTTAAGCAAATAACTTTATTAGCTTCGTGCAGTGTTTAGGAAAGTTGCATGAATAAATAAGAACGTGAACAAATTGGTTTACAGCATGAACTATAATCGGAATAGAAGGTAATTTGGCCCACTTCCTAAGGATAACGAGTAAATTTGTACTCAATAACCACAATATCAATCCGCGCGTCTTTCATATAAAGTTATCCACTTAGTTCTACTTTCAACAACCTCGTGAATTTCATTTTCAAACAAACTTTTTTAAGAAAATGTTCTGAAAGATGATCCCCTGTGAAGATGATCTCGATTTGCGTTATTGACTTTAAAGTGTAGCTATATGGTGTTTACTCTTCCACTTCAACTAAGTAATAATAATAATAATAATAATAATTTAATATTTATATTGCGCAAATTAACATGAAGATATGATCAAATGCGCATCACAACACTTTTCGGGGGACTTTGGCCAGACTGCATTAGCAGTTTACAAACATTCGAAAGAAACTTTTATTTGAAGATGCCCCCTCCCCCCAATTCCCATTAAACAGGCCAGACCACATCACAGTAATCTCGTGAGTGGGTTCTTTACGTCTTCTACCCCAACCTGGACCTACGGTTCATTCGTCCTTATCAGAGAAGATTAGAATGTCTAGCCACTTCTTGATATTATAGAAAGGTAGCGCATGCTCCTCAGTTATTTTAAGACCTTGAGTGTTGGTCTGGCAGGGGCTCGAACCATCGACCTCGACCTCCCGCACAACAATCCAGCGCTCTAACCAATTGAGCTAACCGGGAGGCGGTTTGCTCGATTGGTTAACTAAGGAAACTTAATCATTATTTACTTATGAACATGTCACCTTAGTAGTTGCCAAAATAAAAAAAAAAACACGTTCTTGCGTTTTGCTCAGTCCTTTTCCTCAGACGTCCATTATTCATCGTTTTAAGATAAAATCGAGTGTCGAATTCATACATTCATTAACAAGTATACAAAAACAGTACTTAAATAATTAAACACGCCAAATAATTACATGTAAGACTTAGCAAACAAGAATATAGAAAAGGGAACGTGACCATTGAAAAGCTGTACAGAAAATCCGAACGTGAGATAGATCACATTTTCGCTCAAGTTTTGGGAGTAACAACAACTTCATTTCTTTTTGTGTATTTCTTAAATGCAAATCGGCAGAGCGTTGTTATCAACTCCAGGAATTCAGCCAAAGTCAGGACAGAAACTCCAACCCAGAGTCCCAATTGACCACCAATGTCTGAAATGAAGCCATCAATCTATAAAAGTGAAAGTCAGGACACCCACATCAGTAAAAAGATAGAAACATCATAGCCAAAGAAGTGAATCGCTGCAATCTTTTTAATGTTGTGGATAGAAGGAGAGGCCGGCGGCTCAGTTTGATACAAAGGGTCTTCTCTCTCTCTCTTTCGTCAGTTCCTTTTATGGATAATTAAGGCCATTGTTACAATATGAATAGCCCTTCCGACGAAGGGCTAACGCTCGAAACGTCAGCTGTTTTAATCATTACGGTGGCCAATTTACCATTTCAACTTTGTTGATATATCCAAATTACACTGTTACAATAGTTATTCCTCATCAAGAACAACACTTGCCTTCTCACAAAGATAATATTTTTAAAACAGCCTTAGTTTGTCACTCTGAATTTGGACACATATCCTTAACTTGTTTTCTTCAACATCGAGATGATGCTTCCATGATTTCACATTACAGCAACTCCCAAAACAGTCCAACTATTTGCCTTTTTCTCTTTTTTTTTTAGTTAAAATGTTCAAATATACTTGTATCGACCCCTGCAGCTTACCGTGTACGATATTGCCTCCTTAATTATTTCTTCTTCAAGTTCTTGATAGAAAACGTGCAGCCTCAGGTTATTTTTTCTAATAATCCAGATAAACAATGTAAGGATTATGAAATATTCTCATCAGCTTCACAGACGGAAGTAAAACTACTGACCCGTGAACAGAATAGTTTCCATCCTTAATTTGTGAGGATAGCAACATCCACATATATTGAACTTCAATGAAATTTAATTATTACTGATTTCATTCCAACTGTCCCAGAAAAAATGATTTTATAGGAAAATACTATACTTACGAATCAAAATCCTCCTCGCTGAATTTGAATTCACTGTCTGTCTCCTAAAGATATTGGTTTTAAAAGTGATCTGACTAATGACCTCACATTTAAGATTTGAAAGCTAAACTGTCAAGTTGATATAACCCTACGCTGTAGATTTCGATGAAAGAAAATTTCCATTGATAAGAGTTTTCCAAGAAACTTTTATTCTCCATTTATAATCATTGAACTTGGTCACATATAATCACATTATTAATTGAAGAGTTTAGGATTTAGTAAGGTAAGTGTATCTTTTTCATATTTCATTTTTAATCTAACCATAGGCCTTTACTTTTACGAATAAATGCTCTAGTCTGATTGATTGAAATAATAAAAGTTGTCAAGAAATAGCCATTACCGATGTTAAGGATATTGGGCTAAAAAACAAAACAAAAAAACTCAATCGGCCCTTGTCCACACACACATTGCTCCTGATTATTTAAAATACCTTGTATTTCTCAGATGGCCAAACTTCTAAAGAGGTACTCTTTTTTAGTTGCACTGACCTACAGATTGAAAAATACAAAACAAAAATCGTACCCATTGTCTTGAAAATAAATTAATTAGCAAAGAACGTTGACGACAAGATCGACCTTAGAAAGAGCCCCTACTTGTACCTGCAAGGTGGAACACAAGACTCTGCGCACTCATCACCGTTTCCATCAAACGAGAGTTGTTTTCCAAAGATACAGCTCACTGCGAAAGCGAAGAAAATACGTAAGGCATTAATCTTGTAAAATGAACAATCTAAAAGAAACACTACACTTAAGTATGTATTTTAGGCACTGCTGTCAAAGTCCTTTTAGCTATTTAGTTATTAAGACGTTGAGTTTAGTCTGACGCTTTTCGATGCATCAAACTGAAAAAGTAAATACTCTCCTAAAGTTTGAAATGTTTCATTGTAACATTTGCCACTTACGTTGGGTCTCATTCATTAAATTACAAATTTTCTTCAAATCTTGAGTGGGAAATCTGAATTCCATGCATCCACATTTCACTAACTGACTTCTGGCCAGGCAAGATTCTCTGCAAGACTGAAGCTCAGGTGTCAAGTAGCATATCAAGCCATGGATACCTTATAGACTCGCTGCATAAATTAGGTGAATGAATGGATGGATAGACGGACAGATAGAAGGGTGAATCTACCATTGAATCGATCGCTGTACGAGAATTTGGATAAATGGATGGTCGATGGATCATGCATGAATTATGGAGAGAGGGTCATCGGATCAGTGGATTTAAGGATCGTTAGACAAATAAATAGATGAATGGATTATGAATCGAGTTATGGATGGATAAGTGGATTAGTGGAGGAATGGAAGTAGCTAGAATGATACATTGATGAATGGATACATAGTTGCACGAATGCAGGGATGTCAGTTTGAATCGATCGCCATATAGATGGAGAAATAAATTGATTTACGAATCTATGCAACATGCATAGCTACATGTAGGGTATGGATGGAGGAATCAATGCCGAATGAATACAGCATGTAGAGACATATATTGAATGGTTGGGGGAATTTACGAATGGATATGTACATCTTTTACTCACCATTGTCGAGTAAGAGATGTTCAAAATTTCCGTGTATAAATTTTTCTCGGTCAATTTGTCCCCTTCTCTACAACGTTTACCGTCGTTAGCGGGGTCAATTCGTTCAAAGATAGTCTGTAAATGAAGTTTGAAAAAAATAGTAATTCACTATGAAAGGATTGCGTCGGTATCGAGATTCGCCTTTTAGTGTATGTACCTTCTTCAGACCAATCATTGTGCTGAAACCTGGAGCCAAGCTAACTCCACTCTCCAGCGGAAAAGGCATTTGTCCCTGATCTGAGATATCCACTCTTACTCCTGCACCTGATGTGGTATCAAGGTACTCTTGTTGCTGAATATTCATCTCCAACATTAGCCCTTTAAAGCAAGCAGAGTAGAAGACTTGTAATGATCGAACAAGCTCACTCAGTCAAACCATCAGCCATATCTACGATATTCGAGTTCCTCACAAGCCAGTGAATGACGCATAATCACATTACACAATCCAGTTTGATCAGGCAACTACAGCTGCGATGTTATCGTTATCATTACAGTGAGGTGCTTTGTGACATTTTCAAGTTGAGTTACCATCTGAACTGGAGTTTGTCAATGAAACTCCACAAAAATGATTCAAACAATTTTTGTGCATAAGTCCTTCCACGATATGTTCATCTAGCTTCAAATATTACCTTGTGATATTCCAGGTTTGGTTTGGTGAAGAACTGAAGACTTTTGTTTTCCACCTAAATTAAATACGAAGCAATTTCCAAATTTGAAATGCCAAAAGTGTGTCCACAAAGAGGCATCTTCCCTGAAAAGATGACAGATTCTTTAAAACGCTTCGAGAAAACAATTTTTTTGAATTTTTCTCTTATCTTAAGAATAAATATCAAGGATTCTTCTTGAAGATGAAAACTGCCTTAATTTTAGAATGAAACGAAGACGACTTGTGATGATAATTGACGGTAGAAATGTCTAAATATGCCCAACTAAAAATGTTATTTCAAAACTGTTGCGTCTTAAGTACCCAAACTCTAATAGTTCACATGAGGCGGCAAAATGTCTACATTTTGGAAAGAAATCGCTAACAGGTTGGTTTCCACTGTAGATATACCAGTCCTATATAAACCTTACATGGTATCATCGCTAGATGAGCCACTACGATCATTAGCACCAGCGTACCTGCAGGGTATCCCTCTGAAAGTGCAAGACCTTACTAAGTCCTTGAACTGGTGACCCAGTTTGGCGAGAAATGTCTTATTTAATTCAGCTAAACATGCCAGCATGCTCTCTTCTCTCCAGAATTCAGAGTCGTATCCATGGTAGGATACATTTTCCCAAAAGAGACAATTCTTTGGGTCTGTATAGAAATGGTGTAACGTATAGTGTAAACTTCATGAAAATGTGTTAACTTGGTAAAAATGTCCTACTGTTTAAACCAGGCATACTAATATTGTGCTTAATCCTCTAATTGCATCGCAATATATCTAGACAGTTACAGATTTAATTGTAATTATATATAAAAACGATCCAAAAAATAACTTAGAGGTCAGATGGTTAATTATAGTCCGCTTTAAAGTCCTCTTAAATACCCTATGGTCCTACTTAAGCATGGAAAGACATAATTGATAATTTTACGCGAATACTTGCCTTTTATGGATATATTTTGGTTGTAAAGGGAGGAGTTCTTGATGATATTTGCATTGCATATGGTTATCGCTGGAAAATCTAAGCTCTGTAAAAGCAAAAGCACCCATGTTGCCTCTCTTTAATTTGTTAGCACAGAAGTCAGGTTATCAAAAGGTCCAAGAATTACTGTATGGTAATGTATGAAAACGGTTGGTAAAGTGTGCTACTCGGAAACTTTATTCTGGTCAATTTAAAAAGCTAGCGAATGAAACCATTGATTAAGAGTGTTTTATCAGGGGTTTCAAACACCGAGGAAAAGATGGAAGCACGAGGCCGCAGCCGCATGTACGAGTGTTTGATCTGAGATCAAAGCCATGTTTGAAGTCAGATCAAGACCCCTATGATTTTCATCGGAATGCTCATTGGGTATCAAGGTTCATCCATGTGACTCAAATTTGCCTCACTTATCGGCTGTTGCTACCATGAATTATTAATGAATTTGTCAAGCACAGAATCAAAACTTACCAATTTCGATTCTACCTCCATTTCAGTTACGAGAGAATTCGTCCTAAGTCTACCAAAAAGGACATGGAAATGATATGTAAATGCCACAAATGCCCCTATGAATAGAACACTCCAGATGGTTGTTCTTATTCTATTTTTCACAGGTAAAATTCGTCCCAGTCCATGTGCAGTAGTTTCGTTACAAAACTCTTCGAGAATGGAGTTAGTAGGTTTGTTGACTCTGCTTAATTCTCCGACTGTTGTTTCTCCTGTAGCCATCGCTCTAGTTAACGAAGGGTGTATTTACTGGAAATAAAATGATGATATGTAAATTTACAATGTAAATGCTATATTTTCGTGATTAACGAAAAGTCTCGTTAAACAATTCCCTGAGTAGATGTTCATTCTAAGCGATGGTACCTTATTAAAATTTGATATAAATGAAATATGAGAGTGCTACGAATGAACTTCAGAATTTCCTTAACGTTTTGGAGACTAACCCTTTTTTGAAAAAAATATATTAATACTCATACTTCTCTATCATCATCGCCATGTCAGATTTGAGGGGGAAAATGACTCACTGCAGAATCCAACTTACAAATCTGCTCGTAATTGGTTAACAGCTATCCCTTCATCGTTCATAGTATGGGAAAAAATCTATCCAAACCAAAATAGTAACCTAGTTTATTAAAACAATAATGCCAATTAAGGTTCTGTTCTAAGCACATTGTGCGAGGCGTAATATCGATACACTAACCTGTGACTCCTTAAAGAATTCCTGTTTGACTTTCTCCATTCTGATCTTGGCCGATCATGAACGATCTTGCAGCTGTTTGATTTCTCGCTTGTGTACACACAGCAGAGATAATTTTGAATAATTGAGGTTCATACCAATGACTGTTACACTTCAATTGATTTTTCTTGTTTCAATATTCATGCTTTTGTTGTTTTCATTCACAAAGGGAGCTTTGACATTTCAAAACAGTGATAATCATCTTCCTAATCCTTCTTTATTTAGAGAATATTTGTTTTGAGCTGGTTAAAATAGTAAAGAAAACAAACGTGCCAAAAAATGAATTATATCAAACTTGTGTTGCAGGTGATATTTTTTCCAAATTTTTGCTTTGTTGTAGTGTCACTTTACGAATTAAGCTTGCAAAGGTTTGGGGGAGACACTGAAATCATAAGTTAATGGTAAGGCAAAAACGATAAGATTACAAAATAATTTCCTGATATGTAAACTATTCTCTTTGGCATTTATGAGATATGAAACTTGCACTCTTCCAACGTTAACTGTTTCAACGCTTTATAAGAGAAAACGACATGAATAATTGAAATTTCTAAATAAAAGATAATTTCTGACATTTTCTTAATGATGTCGATGTCTATATAGCTTTTCAAAAGTTAATTTGGAAGTAGGTGTTCCAGAGTGTGGTAAAACTCCGAGGAAGCATTAATTGACAACTGACGATCTGTTGACATGTAATTAAAAGAAAACAAAATTAAAAAATAACAATTACGGAGACCCAGCGGAAATTCATATTCTCGCGTCCAAACAAATTCACTTAACGAACTTCAAATACCAAATAAAAAATTATAAAACATCCCACATCACTGCTTTAAAAACCATTTAGTATGGAACCTCGATTCTTACTATGTGATACAAATTTCTCTCTATTTATAAGGAATGAAATTTCTCGAGTGCTTGTAATCGCCTGTGGCTCTAATTAAGTTTTAGGAATGATTGCAACCCACAGTGAATCTTAGGCTGAGATCATGCAAGCCATACATGGTTTCTGTGTATAGTAATCATATTCAAGTCTGATAATTATTAAATGAAACTTTTTATTTTGCTTCAAATCTGAAGATCGGCTGATTAATCTGAGAAGCAGTTTATGACAAAGAGGACAGTTTCAAGAATAAAATAAATTGTAGATTAAATGTAAAAGCAGTTCCTGGCAACGGAATAATATCAAAGTTCAACAAAACGATTGCGTCATTTGCGTCATCAAAGACATACTCAATGAAGATTGTTGACTTTGTTGACAATATTGTTTTTTGAAATCAGGTCTCTTTGAAATTTGAGTGCTTACGTTATTGAAAATTAATGCCTGCTGATTCATGATAAGAATCAGCATGATTCATGATAAGATATCTCTAAAAAAACAATGAACGATTTTAAATTTAATTAACACGTACAGCAGATGAGTAGGAGTTCCCCATAAATATTTACAGGAACTCCCAAAGTCTAAATGATTTTTTTATTGAACAGCAGGTGGAGCCATCATCAGCTTACAGATGACTATCAAGAAACAAATTCTCATTTTAACACGGGCTGTGCAAGCTAAGAAAGCGAGGCTCAAACCGAGGTGGTTCTAAGCATCTTTGCACCTTGCCTACGTAGGTTAAACTTTTACACCTTTAAATGTAGAGGACTGGTCGATTCCATCTGGTAAGAGTCGTTTTCGAACTCTTCATGTCTTTAGAAAATTATATAACCATTGATAATTAGAGCGCAGATCTCCCTACGGTGATGTATTGCTGATCATTTTTCTCAGGCCTTCGTTAGTCGTACCTCGAATAAATGGAGAACAAGAATGACCGTCTTTCTGTTTCGGTACTGCTGTCCGATTTTTTTGGACACACCTCAATGCATGGAGCTGAAAGAATTATAAACTCTCGCGAATGGATCAGAAAAGTCTTGTGGATAATTTTGATGCTGGGTGCGTTAGGTGTTTCATCATGGCAGATACACCAGCTGTACAGTCTTTACCAGAAGCGACCGCTTGCAACTCATATTGACATCGAGCGCGACTCGGTAATAAAACCTTTTTTTTCTTTTTGACATAGAAAATAGAATTTTCCAGAAGGGAAGCTATTAACTTTTCAATCCTTTTTTGCTTCCTCTTCTCCCTTTGTTTGTTTGCTATTTGTTCAAGTGTGTTATGCTTTCACTTCTTCACTCCTTCCTTTCTGGTGTATAATCTATCTAACAACACCAACATAACAATTAAAGGATATTGGTGATCTGAAAAAAGTTTTGATCATCTCAGTTCTTGAAAGATGACTTTCGTCAGTCAAAATTCCTCGTTCATCAACAGGATTGGAGCATTTTGATGTGGATTTGGTCGTCAGGGTAACCCTATATGACGCCATCAAACGTGTTAGTCAGGATTCCAATGTAGCCTTGTAATGCTTGAACGAAGCAAATTCCCCAGGAAAAGCAAAAAGTTCTACCACCCCTTTTCCACTTGTACCACGAAAAAGATGTGTGGCGTGCACGTTCGAGAAGTTAACGAATGCAAGAGAAATTCTGCGTGAAATGCTTGGATATTCTTAACGGTTGTTCAGCTAATCTTTTCTGTTTTCTTATTTAACTTAGGATTTGACGTTCCCTGCCATAACAGTTTGCGACATGAACTCTTTGAGACTCGATCCAGTAAAAGACTGGGAATCTACTGCCGCCAAAGCACTTAGAAGAGAGATGAAAGGAACAGATTGGTTGAACTGTAAGTACAAAAGCGATGCAACTGGCTATTTACTGAGCTATTTAACTTGTAAAGATTAAAACCATCCATATTCGAAAAGAAAATTTTCACCAAAGTACTGTTGTACATGGGGAAAGAGATATTCTAACATTCCAATGAGACTTGAATATTATCATTCTTTCAACAGCAGAACCTGAAGAGGAACATAACGAGGATGATGAAGATGGCGAAAGTAAGTACAAAAGCTAAGTAACAGGAGATTTACTGAACTAGTTAACTTGTAAAGATTAAAAGTGCTCTTGAACTATGGAAAGGAAATGACATAAAGAGAGAGATGTTCAAAAATTCAAACGAGACTTTAATTTTATCAGCAGAACCTGAAGAAAAATATAACGAGGAAGATGAAGATGGCGAAAGTAAGTACAAAAGCGAAGCAACAGGAGATTTACTAAACTAGTTAACTTGTAAAGATTAAAACCGTGCACATTGGAAAAGAAAATTTTCACCAAAGTACTCTTGCACTATGGAAAGGACATGATATAAAGAAATTAATATTTAGAAATTCAAATGAGACTTGAATATTATCATTCTTTCAGAATCAAAACCTGAAGAGGAAGATGACGAGGAAGAGGATGCAAAATTTATAAGGATAGAAAAACTTATGACCAAAATAGCCAAAACAAATATTCATCATGATCTCGCAGAGTTAGGCCATCAGTTTGAAGACTTTATGATTTATTGCTCCTTTCGTGGAATCAACTGTGTGTAAGTCACCCTCTTTATTAATTAAATTCAATATGCTCCCTATTCATAGGTCACGAGTGAATCATCATTCTAAGAATTACTGGAGAATTCAGGTTAAGAATCTTTTAACAAAGATTACGAATTTTAAGCTCATTAGGCAGCTTTTTAACTATTTTTCAAAAGGTCTTTTGCGTATATTACTGACGTTACAGCTCGAAGAGAGAAAATATTTTAAAAAGATCGTAACTCTCCTTCATTAAACGTATTGTAAAATTGCTTTGATCTTTTGATTCAGGAATCATACCAGAAGATACTGGAATCGTTTTTGGCATTATGCATACGGGAATTGCTACATTTTCAATGGAGGATACAATGATCAAGGAGAGAGAACCATATTGTTTAATTCAAGCGAAACGGGCCCATTTTTCGGTTTGTCAGTGTTTGATATTTAGGCCTAATTAATCGAAAGATAGCTTTCCCTCTGATATGCTGTGGAAGTCATTCCCAAATGCTCTCCAAAACTTTTCAAAATAACTAGACATGACTTAATAAAATTAAAGAAGGTAAAAAAGTTTTAGCAGAGTGATTGTTAGTGAAAGATGTTTCATTTTTCGATCAGAGGTAGAAGCCAATCAGAAAGCATTAGCCACAATTTCAACTCCCAACGAGAACGCTTGAAATGTACTTCCCTCGGGATTGGTTGTCTCACTGGCGAAAAAATAAAACATTACTTTTATATTTACGTCTGGTGCTTTGGCAACTCAGTATTTGTTTCATGTATGAATAAAAAAATTTAAAACTTGGGTGGCAATAAGAATTTTCCTTTTTGTCTCATTAAGGGCTTAGTCTTGAGCTAAACATCGAGCAAGGTCAGTACATTGGATCCCTAACACAAGAGGCAGGAGTGCGAATTGACATCTCAGATCAAGGGGAAATGCCATTTCCCCTCGAGAAGGGACTGAGTCTTGCACCAGGATATGCCACATCTATTGGAATGAGGAAGGTTTCATCTGTTGAACATTTGTGAAAGTTATTATTTAAATGAGACTCGCCACCAAAAGCATTACATCCACTCTGAAAGAAAACTGAATTTAATTTCAAATTTCTCACCTATTAAATGCAAATCATATTTCAGATAATCCCCTTTATCCTTTCCTCGTCATCCTCCGCACTTTGTTTGATTAGCTTCTAGTTAGTTTGTTTGTTTGTTTTTCGTTTTTTCCGTGCAAGCAACCATGGAGTCTTAGCTTGATAGTATTACATGATACTTTTCAATGCCATTTCCATCGACCTGTCGAAGCAAAAGGGATATGTGCCAGGCATTCAGAGATAGAAGAAAGCTTTCTTTTTCCTGTGCATATGGAGTTGTCTTCTCATTGAATGCTTATATTCTTTTTTCAAGGTTGTTATTAAACGATCGGATCCTTTTTGGAACAACTCCTGTATGAACGACTCTCCCCCTGACAGCATAAACCTTTACAGAGATACAATGGAAGTGGGCTATTCAACCACTGTATGTGATATTGAATATCTTCATTTTGTTTTTATTGTTTTGCTTTTTTTGCCATTTGGGTTCGGTTTTATTAATTTTCTTCGTAAAATGTTATCCTACAGCTAGTTATCTTCATATGCACTGCTTTATAACTCAACTGATTCAGTGTTCTCAACTGATAATGAAGTAAATCTAAACATACAATCACATCATCCTCCTTCCTGCCCACTTAATCTTTTCTTATTTTTTCCCATTTTTTACTTCATATTTTCAGGCATGCAAAAAGACCTGCTGGGCACGAAAGCAACAAGAAAAGTGCGGATGCGTTGAATACAAATTTCCAAGGCCGAATTCTACACGTTTCTGTGAAACTTCCAATAAAACAGATAGTAAGCAATTCCATGAAATAATTCGTAAGATATTTAAAACGCTATTTCTATGCACCAGTGTCCTTTCTCAAGCACCGAATCCCCTCCTGCCCCTACCTTCCCTGTAAAGAAAAAAAAAGGTTTGCTGTGTTGGCATAGACATAAATTCCTGGGCACGATCCCTTTTTTGAAGGTAACAACGATATCTAAAGTATAAACCTAAATCTTTTGCTCCCAATACATGTACAGCCATATAAGTTTGACGTGATGTCACATTAACTATTTCTAGAAGCATGTGTCAGAAGAGTGATAGACTACTTTAGCAGAGGACATCTGGATTGTTCCCGGTCATGTCCTCCACCTTGCAAGTAAGAAAAAAATATTTACCCAATTTGAATCCTGAAGGCAAACCCAAACTGCAAGTATTCTCAGTCAATAATAAGATGTTTATGTCCAGTTTATTTTTTGTTGATTTGTTTTCCTTGTTGTTTAGTAATTTCTCTAAAAAAAACTTGAACTTCAGTAGGATAACTATTTTAAGTTACTAGATACAATTTTTAGGGCACACTTCATGGTTTCATTTCGAATCTGAATAAATTTTAGGGAGAGCACATTCAAACTTACTACATCTTACTCGTTGTGGCCAACCAACAGTTCGCAGGTTGGTACATTTGGAACTTACATATTCTAAGAAGTATCCTCTATTTTTCTTAATTTTCGAACCGAATTTTTTTTAATTCAACCTTGAAAAAAAAATTTAATTTTCTATTTTTCAGGGTTTTACTTTGTGGAATATCAAATACCCAAATTCCAAGAAGACGTTTTAATTAGCCACTTTACTAAAATGACTTACATCACATGAAAGACTTTTCAGATGTTAATTATATATGTGTGTTATCCTACCAGAGTGTTTATAAATTCATTTCCTTACAACCCATTCTAAGGTCCTTTCAGTTTTCAAAAAATGATAATCTGTGATCAAATCTCTCGATGACTACAAACGCCGTGAATGGTCAATTTAGTAAGTGTGGTCTGAGTGACGTATCCTTGCTTTTTCCTCTTTGATTCGTGTCTAAAGAAACACACGGTCCATAATATACAGCGCGGACCTTAAACTTGGTTAAATAAAAGTGTTACTCGTCTTTTCAATCCACGGTTACTAGCTGTCCTATCAAAAAAAATTGAAGGCAACAAGCAAGGAGGTAGACGGAGGACCCAGTGACTTCAGGTAGAATTACAATCAGATCGTAGATATAATCATTGTATCTATACTTTCCTATCGGAACTCAGTTCACAGCGAAGTCACCGCTAAAATCATGGACGCTAAAATCAAATTACATTGATGATGTTACACATCTAATTCTCAAATCAATAACATGTAAAATGCCTAAGCTTTTAATTGCTTTTTTTTTTTAGGCATAACATTCTCAAAGTAAATGTATTTTTTGAAGAACTGAATTACGAAGTGATTTCGGAGGATCCTGCGTATGAGGTTAGTTATAAATCTGCACATCAATTTCAATATCTGAGAAAATGCGTACGTACCCCTCCCCTCCCCTAAACCATCTTTAACCTAATCTTGTTTTCACTTGATTGTTATTGAGCTTGGGGTGGGGTGGGTGCGAGGTTGACATTGATCCAAATCTGATTATGGATCTGTAACTGACAAGATTACTGGATTGAAATGTGGTATTACCAATTACGATAAGTTGATTATTGAACTCACCAATTGGAAAGCGGTGTAACCAGGCAATCCTATATTTGTGATCAGAGCAGCCATTTTATCTTTTACATACATAATTACTACAAGTGGGATAACCGCAAAAATTTGGTTTGTCTGAAGCTGCCAAGTTTTATGTCAGACCTTGGAGGATCGCTTGGTCTTTGGATAGGAATGTCCGTGTTGACCTTTGCAGAGATCTTGGAACTGATTTTACTTATATGTTATTCTCTGGCTCGAAAGCTGAAAAAGGGAATGGATACCAGGTCAACATCTGTCGCTGTTGAAAAGTTCCAACCAGAGTAATACTACCTACTAGTAGAAAAATGATACCTTAGCGCAGATTTGTGCAGAAAATTAGATATAGCAGTTAGAATGGTGTAAAAGTAGCAAAGCACTGTAAACTAAATAGGACGTAGTTTACATATTTATTGTAGAACTTAAAGGATGAACGGTTGCCTCATTCGCCCCGGAGCCTAAGCATTCTGCTATAAAGAAGACGTAGGGTAGTTTGCTTTGAATGTGGTTTTTTCTTCTAGTGCTATTTTTTTTGTAAACATTGGGATGAATTGAATGAATAGTAAATTATATGGAATAAAACACCAACCGAAAAAACACTACCGGCTGTATTTCCACCTCATTTTGTATGTTATTAACTGCTTTAAGCCCAACAAGAAACTACTTAAGGAAATCTCTCTCTGATTAATGATGTTGAAACTGATAAATGGCTCACATTTCCGCCAATTTCAAATCCTAACCTGCCTCAGCCCATCTAATAACTACTTGAGTTACATATATAAGTTTAAATATATTGTTTTCTAAAAGATACGAAGTCAACATACCTTTTTCAGTTTATTCTAAGAAAAATTTTTTTTTTCTTTCACTTAGGCAGTGATTCTAAATCCCCTTATCCTTTATATGATTCTATTTTTGGAAGCTTTGACGCCCGAGATCAGTGCGTTCTGCATCTTAGCTTATAAAACCCTTGACTGCATATAATAACATATGATTAGGATTATGATTAATGTACGCATGCTTAGTATCATGGTTGCTCTCGATTGAGTTTTTTCAATTCATTTCCATTGTGGTTGACTTGACTTTGCTTCGCGATGTACGCTTTTGGGCAAGATGAGCAAACAATAACATGATGAATTCGATGAACTCAGCTATTGTCAGCACAGAAAAACCGATCCATAAACCAAGCTGGCCACCAATGTCAGACGCGAAATCTGCAATCTGTTAAAACGAGTAAAAAAAAATGATGTTTGATTAAAAACTAATTTGATTAGTGGTTAACTATCGGTACTAGTATGAATATTTCATACCTTGGAAGACTTAAACAGTCAGAAATATGAATGAAATGAGGAAAAGAATTCTACTCACTCCGTATGACTTCTGTTCCTTTATCATTTCAACGTTAAGTTCTTCGAAGAAAATCTGAATCTTTAATACATTTCTTCTGTAAAGATAATGCAGAAATATTGAATGTCAGGAAAGTTTCCTCATTTTCCTAATACATCTCACAGTACCTAAAATAAACTATAAATCGAAGAACTTTATAATTGGGACCCAGCTTTCTCAGAGGAATTTTTGTGGGGAGACTATCTCTCACCTGAGGGAGCCAAAATCTAACCAATCGAATTTCCCGCGCTTAATCAGCTCATCTTGGAAGAATACCTGAAAAAGGAATGTAGTTCGTTTACGTTAACTAATTTGGCTCAAAAACTTGTTTAAAAGCTAATGTAACAAATTGTAATTAGGAACCTCGTAATTTACCGAAGGCCAAACAGCAAGCGATGTACTAATCTTGAACTCTTCCTGGCTGGAAAAAATAATGAATAATTTGTAAGTTAATTTCTGAGGAAAACCTACCATCGAATTCAAGAGAATATGAACTGTCCATATTCTCTTGTCACATTTAATGTGACTAGTGACTGAATGATTAAGTAACGACATCAATTACTACAACTGTCATTTTTACAAAATAGATTCCGTTATACCTGCATGGAGGCGGGCACGAGCTACTGCAATTAAGTTTGTTGTCCCGGTACTGCTTTTGTAACTTGTTGAGACAGCTAACTGCAAATGAGAAAATGGAAACACTGTAAAACAAAGCAAGCGAGCAGTGCACTTATTGTACCCGCTTAGTTGAAGAATAGTTGGCTGTTCTGGATCCATCGCAGATGACTGTGCTGCTCAAAAATATGAAATGATTGTGCGAGATATTATATTAAAAAATCAGTTGGAAACTGAATTCAAAACGTTATTGTGCAAAAGACCATCAGATACGTGAACTTACTAGTAGTTTTATTGGTAATATCACAAACTGGATTTTTATCCACAGGGAATCTGTACTCCATACATCCACACTGCAAAAACTGATTGTTGGCTAAGCATGACTCCTTACAGGCCTGATATTAAAAGGGAGATATTACTTTAATTCATGCCAAAGTAACCTTAACCCTTTAACTCTTATCAGTGATCAAGGCAGAACTTCTCCTTACAATATTTATTCAAAATCAAGAAGAAAAGAGAATAAAAAAAATATAGAAACTAGGTGATTATCGATTGATCCAATACCAAATTCTCCGAACTAATATCATAAGAATTGTATGGCAGACAGTAAGAAAAGAATTGATAATGAGACCTTGCATGACAGTGAAAGAGTTAAGTGTTTGAATAAACGAAAAAAGTGAGACACAGTTACGCTCTCAAACGACGGCTGACTCACCACCCAGTTGTTCGTGCGTGGTACTTTACTGCTATTTTGTGTTTTGATTCGTTTCAGTTGTAGATAATAATTATTTGGTCTCGTTTTCAAGAGAGAAGATGAATATAGCCTACAGAAAGGATGAATAGAAATAGCATCCACCTCTACAACCCTCCTCCCCTCCCCCCCTTATAACCCAATCCAAACCCCACATTAGTGAGATGTGTCTATGAATGACCCAAACGGTCCATAGAATTCATGCTGTGAACATATCCAAAATATTGCTTAATGTCATCGGTCTTTTGATAACAAGGTCAAAAACCAACAGTAGAAATAACTTGTCAGCTCTCACTTACCGTTGATGAGTATGAGGCGTTGAACATTCTGGTGTACAAGTTCGACTTATCAATAGAGGAGTTTTTATGACATCGATTGTCATTAAATGGATCTTGCCTTTCTATCATAACCTACCACAGGAAACAAGGCATTGAAAAGTTATACGAGACCAACAAAAAAAAACATAAGCTACGTTTTCTTTCTTCCTTTTCTTCAGAACAAGGGAGCGATCAAGGAGCTTCAAGGCCTGCGCTATTTTTCGAGAAGAGGTTTTGACATTTTTTTTAAATCGACGGGATCTCGAATTAAAAAGCCTAAGACAGTATCTTCACTTAGAATCTTCGTTTATTCACTTCGTAAAAAAAGAAAACAAAGGCAACTTCCGCTAGATAAGATACACCGATACATCTAAGAGCAACAACTCAGAAATGTCTCATCCATGGTAAAATTATTTTACCTTTCTTAGACCAATTGAAGTGGCGAACCCAACAGGTATGCTCAAGCCCTTCTCCATCGGAAATGGCATATATCCCTGACTTGAAATATCAAGTCTGACACCAGCTTCTGGTGTAAATTTATCGAGGTAGTTGTCTTGTTCCACGTTTACCTCAAGATTCAGTCCTAAATTAAGAGAGGAGAAAGTTACATATTGTAGATTTGTAACCTAGTAGCTGTACCGTGAATGTCCTCGTGATCCAAGCATGTTCCCGAATGAATAAAGGGGGAGGGTTACCAAAGACACTGTGATGCTTCGTCAGTGGGGGATATAACAAGACCATCTGGTTTTATCAACTGAGTTGATAATGTGAATTGGCCACGCCCTAAAGTGATCCTAAACACGTTTCGAGCGTTCGCCCTCCTACATTAGCTCTGACTAAGGGCTAACGCTCGAACCGTCTGCTTTAGAATCTCTTTACCGCGGCCAATTTACATTATCAACTCATTTGATAAAACCAAATTATCTCATTTTAGAGAGATTAGCTGGTTATTTTCTAAGTACTGATCATTATACACTAAGAGAGTGCTTCATCGACTGACTAATGAACCCACCGACTCACTGAATCAGGAATGGGCTGGCTGACTGACTGAGTGACAGACTGATGGAAATACTGACTAGCTGACTAGCTGACTTGCCATTTGACAACCTGATTTTGTGTAATTGAGGAAAACTGGTGAACCGGCTGACGAAAAGAGCAGTTATTTGTCTGTTCCAAAGACCGTGAATCTTTAGCAAACTGAAAAAGGGAGGCACTTACCATGTGTGGGCCCAGCTTTGTTTGACTTAACCACGGGGCCGTTAGATCCCGAGCTTGTCAAACCGCTGTTGAATAGGTAGCAATTGCCGTACTTGTAGTGCCAAAACTTAGTCCAGAAATTTGCTGTGAAATTGCTAAGGGACGAGACATGAAAAAAGGCGAAAATCAGCTCTTCTCATCGCTGCGTCTAAAATATTCGGGCTAATCCAGTTATAGGCACATTTTTCTCTGATACTTCAGTCGCCTTTAACAACTTACCTAAGACCAGAATTAAGAATTCTCATTTGAGAACACAGTTGAGCCATGAAAGCCTTGTTATATCACAATTGTGTAGGCATATTTCTGTTGTCATACGACACAGCAATCATGTCTGGTAGGGCTGGAACTTCTGGTTTTCCTCAGTCTGAGGTAATATTTACATAATTGACGCGGCATGCTACAATTACCTGCAAGAAACGCCGCGATAAGTGCAGGACAAAATCATGTCTTTAAACTGATGACCCAATTTGGAAAGATAATTTTCTTCTTTTCCAGCCAACAAAAGAGAAACCTTTTCACTTTCGAAATATTCTTCATCAAGATAGTTTGGATCTCCCACCTCGTCGTCTCCCCAGTAATCATAATCTTCGTTTTCATTGTATTCATCACCGTAACCTGAAGAAGAGTCTCTTGGGATTGGTGGGGAATCGGTTGGCACCACATCGGCGGTTGCTCGACGTTTTCTAGAGGATGTAGAGTTCGACGATGAATCTAAACATCAATCGGAGGAATTAGTAAGTATTTAGTCAGAAAAATGGCAGCACGCACTGTCCCCTCACGCCAAAAAAATCATGGTGAGAAAATTGATTTTTCAAGGAAAGCATCTTACACAAGTGATCATGAAAGAGCTCAGAGAAAGCTCAGCTCTACTTTCCTTAATTTGAAAAGAGCAGATTTATGTCAGCGCAGTTACCATCCTTCCTGGAACTTTTCACTAACCCTAATTTACTCCTCTCCTCAGTTGTCAGGAATTCTTCTGAGATGTCTGCAAACTCCTCAGAATTACCAGCAAACTGACCTGTCGGCAACCTCGTCAGAGTTTTCAGAGGACAACTATTTTTGTGGAGCCATCTGACGTATGTTAATTATGTTTCTTTTTCCATTTCTATGCTATGTAATTCTTACTTTGCTTCTTAATCGTCTCTTTGAGATCAGTGAAGTTGCTTTCATCAAGAGCGTCGTACTTAATGGCATTGAAGTTGCATAATGTGATAGTGGGAAATGGAAGGCTCTGGAAAAAACACACGGTTAAAGTTATGAAGATTCAAAGTTTGGTAAAAATTAGTCCATTGGAAAAAGGCCAAGGGTAATAATACAGTAGACGAATATTCATTTTGATCCCCAGCTTGATTCTTTTCTTTCTCCTACTGTATGCTTGGTGTATCCATTTTTAATTAGGACTATCATTTACAAACAAGCTAATTCAAGGAATACCATTGAAAGCTGAATATGAAATGAATGAGATGGAAAATAAAAATACAAGAGCATGTCCAGCTAATATACGCCATGATCATAAATTCTCAGCTTGAGAATGGTGCGCACGACAAGACTTTTGGCTACTGTATTTTTTTCTTTCTTTCTCTACCAATTTGTGTTCTTAGAACTTATCTTGTGACTTATTAACTTAGATATTAATCCTTACCGTGTCAGACTGCAGTGACACGAGTGTGACCAATGGTCGACTGCGATATTTCTCTAAGAGCGTCAGAATCTGAAGGCATAACACCACAATGGCTGCAATAAACAACAAACTCCAGAATGCCTTGCGAATCCACTGTTTTGATGACATGATCCTCTCAAAGCCATGCGCTGATGTATAACTACAGAAGTCTTTGGTTAGAGACTTTAAAGTATCCGCGCTCTCCTGGTCCTCTCTCTTTTTCGCCCATCGTTGCTGCTCCATGCCTGCTTTAGGTTGTTTCATTCCTTTTCACTGAAACCAATTAATTCAAAGGGTAAACTGAAGAAAATGCTGATTTCTAGAGCATTTTTGGAGTCTTTGTATGAAATACCAACCATACTCGGGTCTTCGATAATACTGAGGTCTTTGGTCAGTAATACTGTAAAAGATCAGTTTGTTGTAGATATTAATTTGGTTTTATCACCTAAACAAGCCAATTCGAGGAATACCAATAAAAGCTAAATATGAAATAAATGAGGTGAAGAATGGAAATACAAGAATATGTCCAATTAATATATGCCATGATCATAAGTTCACAGCTTGAGAATGACTGCGCGCGACAAGACTGTTGGCTACTATAACTTTTTCTTTCCTTCTCTACCAATTTGTGTTCTTATAACTTATCTCGTGACTTATTCACTTAGATATTAATCCTTACCGTGTCAGACTGCAGTGACAGAAGTGTGACTAGTTGTCGACTGCGGTATTTCTCCAAAAGCATAAGATATACATCAGCGAAACAGGAAGATGACTATGTGACCGATTCCGAGAACACCTTCGCGACGTAGAAGAGAATGACAAGGACGCATCAAAACCAGTCGCTAGACACTTTGATCTACCTAATCATTCTAAGGAGCATATGTCAGTCTACGGTCTTTCCCAATATTTAGGTAGCTCAGAAAGCCAAAAAACTCTTGAATAAAAGTTTTCCTTCCAAATCGGCACTCTTAATTCCTTAGGTATCAACAAACACTTTTCATTCTACTAATTTATTCTTGTTTTTCTCTTCACCGTGGTCCCACCAATAGCGTAACTCCACTTTCTGCATATAAACACACACCCACCCTACAATCCTTCATTCCTTCTCGAAGGGCTAACGCTCAAAACGTCAGCTTCGCAACTCCTTACGGTGGCCAATTTGCAATTTCAACTTAGTTAATAAAACCAAATTACCTTGTTACCCCCACCGACGCAGCACCACAGTTTCTTTAGAAACTTACTCCCTTTGTTTATTTGTTGTAGATAGTAATTCGCGCATTTAATCCTATTCTGATGACAAGGGATAGCCCTGTTTTGTTTGTTTGTTTGTTTGTTTGTTTTTTATGTGCTTAGTGGATATAATTTTAGTCTTTGAAGCCTAAATTTCTTCTTCTAGTTTTTTTCTACGATTTTTCCTAATTTGCATGCTGTCACCACCTACGTTCATTGACTCCCAAATTTTCTTGAAAAAACGTTGGTCCGCAGCGACAGTAACGGGCAACGATAAACAGCGTGTAGTCCAACCCACAGTAATGTGTTATCAACATAACATTAACAATGATAGTCTGGAGGGTTGGGCTAAATGATTAATAGAAATTTAAAGGCAGGAATTTAAATGTAGTAACAATTTTGTCGAATGCCCTACAGATAAGAAATACCGATGGAGATGAAGAAAATAAGAACTAAAGACGAAACTATGCAGACTACACAAATGACACTCAAATAGATTCCCAGCCTTATTTTTCCAAATCCTTGCACGATACCTCCTAACCTGTCATCGGCACATGAACAGCTGAATTCCAGCCGTGTAGTAATTCGAAAGATAAAAACCGGCGATGTCTATTTGCAATGCTAGAATTGCTGATAATATATTAGTGAAGCCACAAATCAGGACATTGTTGCCTATCAATCAGTGCATTTTTAGTACTTCCTATGGAGGTTTTGTGGATGAACTGGTTGCCTAGAAATAAAAATGCTCTTGTAAAAATGCTCAGTGTTTTGTACCTCATTCATGAATATTTGTTCTGTACTTCATTCATCATGTATCAGTCAAATAATCCTCGGATTATAATGATTTCAAGAAACTGAAAGGCTCACTGAAGGGAAAACCACGCTAAATATCTAGATGAGCAATCAGATGCTACTCAATGAAAGTCGCTCCATTATCTAAACATCAATCACAATCAGTTATTGACCCACAATACTACAGCAGTTGTTTAGCGATTCAATGAGCAATTTTCAAGTAACGTTGATGTACGAAGTACCTAAGATATGCATTGACCAAAGTCTGTTTCAGTAATTTTGGTTGATTTCGAAGCTTGATGTAGTCTAAATGGCTCTTATCATGTGCTTAAGTCGGCAAACATGCTGTCATTTTGAGCTTGCTTGACATAGAACCGACAAAATTTCTTTTCTGTTGTCTAATCGGTTAAATCGTTCATGAGAACACAGTTTTGGACTTTCCCATCTTGCGTAATGTTCAAAGATGATGCAGTCGGCAAAGCTGGCTGGAGAAAACATAAATCCTCCGACATAAAAACTATGATTGTTATCTGTGAGATAGCGCAGCTTTACAATCATTGAATGGCTCTTGATGGCACAATTAAACTGAGTGACAATTTTTAGCGCACAGTGATGACAATCTGTAAGACTGATGCGCATTTCAACTTTCGCTCGATCCGGAAATATCAAAATTAAGCCGCTGTTTAGAGGATACTAAATAATCAAACCACATCACTAACAAGTTACTCGAATGGCGCGCAACGTTTCTCAAAGAAATGGAAATTTTTATGAACTGCGCATTGTTATTAAACGACAGATTGCTATTGAACAAGAGTAACACATACAAACGAACAGATAAGTAGCAATGAATCTATACTTACATCTGGACTTAACTAAATATTCACCATTCACTGTCTAAAGTAAGCTAAGCTTTTCCACCAGAATGATTTTTTTAAACGCCACGCATTTCGAGAAAGGACCATCCGCCTCAACGATATTTGATTATCAGATTTTGAGAATGTTTCTTCAGAAAGGACATGCACGCTTCTTGATAAGTATGTTGTTATTTGCGCTTTTGAATCACTGAAGCAAAGCCGTCACAAAGAATTCAATGAATAGTATACAAATGACGTTATTATTTGACAGTTTTATAATAAGCCTGGTAAGAATAGTAATGAATTGACTGTATTCAGTGATATTTGGCTTCAAAAAGTCTGTTGATTCATTGGACTTTTTGTCCTTGCATCTCGCTGCGTACTCTATCTCTTAAATTCTTCTTGTAAAACTTAGGCTCAGAAATAAATATTTCTGATAGAGAGAAAACAGATTTCGTCCCTCTTCGTATATTATAATTGTGTTTTGCTAGACATTGTTATTAACTCTGTGCATTAATTGCTGCGGTCTTTTCTATTGAACACAGGACTATTTTTGATTAGATTCACCAAAATTTACTTAGGTTTTATTCTTTTTCTGGTTCACAGAAAAGTGCCCTTCCATTCAAAGTTCGCTCAAAGGATTTATCGCTATTACAACTTTCACAGAACTTGTACACAGTGGTTGTCATTAGAAACATGGGAAGGGTTCCTCAATTCTTCCGTGGTTTCACAATTTACATTTACTATAATGACTATTCGGAAGAAAAAAGGGCTCCGAAAACATAATTAAGCTTAGAAAAATTAGTGAATACTACAGCTAATGGTCCTGATTATAGCACACACTTCCGACCTTTAGATAAGTTTAGTGTAACGAGTAGGGTATGAAATCAGTTTTTGACTTTATTTTTAACTCACACTTAACGCAATACTCCTGGTTGAAATTTTGGCGAAATTGGTGAGAGTCTCCCTAAAATCATCAGCATTTTGTTATAAACTAAACTGCACTTTCGTGGGTGGAAAAGGAGATAATGATCTTTGAAAATAATGTCGGCGAGAAATGACAATATTTACTCACGAGGAATTATCTTCTCCGAATTTGTCCCGATCTTTCAGATGGTCTTCTTTTAATTTTCTTCTTTTCAGTGCTTCACTGAATGTTTCAAATTTCTTTGTTCTGTGGATAAATTTTGACAGAAAATACATCCAGAAGTGTTTCTAAATGTTGCTTTAATTTATTTAACATTATTTGTGAGCTCTAAAATATTGATTTTTACCCAGCAGGGTTGATATCAATTTATCAAAACTCCTAACCATCATGAAACATTTGGGTGAGAACGAATTTTGTGCTTAAACTACAAGAAATCTCCAAACTCACGGTCCATCAATTCAGCTCTACAAACACACTGTTATTATTCACTATAAGCTACATGAATACAGCTAAGGTCGTTATTGATTTACTTTCAAAATGTACGAATTACAGATGACCGAAAGATTTCGGCAAAACAGCATCTGTAGAACTCATGGGAAGGTCATAAATTGGAATTATCATGGAAAATTTTAGATTTTTTCTTTCGAATAAATTACGAGGTTCATTTATTCAGTTGCTGAGCTTTAAAACAATTGCCAATAACTTAAATGTAACTGAGAAAAAGTCGCGTTTTTGTACTTTGTTAGTAATCCACTTAAAGTCCCGATCCTTTCAGCAGGGAACATTAAAATAGTCTCCGTAATGACACGAGCAAAATTTTAATCTAAACTAATCTTTAAATTATATGCAAATGATGACGATAGGAGGATCCGAAATGTCAAACTCACGTCTTGCAAGAATTAAGAAAGCACAAACAGATCTCTATTTGACGGCTACAAACAACAATTTCAATATATCGTGTTTAACACCAATGGGGATTTTCTTTCTACTAGCTTCCGATTGTTTGGAGAGACTTAAGCTAATTCGTCCCGGGAATTTACTTGGGCGGTGTCTTTCCTACCAGCGATACCCTTTGCTGGCAACTGTCTCGATTAAATAACACTCATTCGATATTACAGGTTTGCTTGAGGAAAATACTGTTTGATTATACTTTAGAGCATACCTCTTGTGAAAAAGTATCACTTTTGAAAATCTTATGAATCGGATTTGGCCCGAAACAACTGAAAGATTAGACTGCAAATTAGATTGTTCAATGTCACCAACGAATAATTCGGGGAAAAGGTATAATAACAAGAAGGCATGAGATGTTTTTCCATGGAGCATACTTAAAAGTATATGCAAGCACCTGCGGTGAACAATTATGGCTTCATGGCCGGCCGTCCAATTTGGACCTGAATCATTTGTAGCATACCAAAATAATGAATACAGTATGAGTCACCCTGCTATGATACAAAAAATAAAATTAATAAAGTGGGAATTGACGCAAAGCTTCAGCTTCTCGGTAAATTTCTCATCAATACATCTTACTTGAAATGAGTTCAGATTAACAGTTTCATCTAAATGCTAATTTTCAATAAATTAATCTGATGGATTCAACGTACCTGGGGATCATCTGGTGCACAACGTGGAACATTGATGTAAACAAGGGAGATACCCGCTAGAAATCTTGATGCTCTATAACAGTTACATTTAGCCATCTTAAACTTTGATGATTTTTTTACTAAAAGAAATAAAATAATCCTATGCAATTTAACAAATACAATATAAAGTTTATAAAACATTACCTTAAAAAAGGAAGTAAATATTACCTCCTCCCATGCATCCAACGTTTATTTTGCATCGACTAATGTTTGTAACCCACTGCGAAGTAAATTGCTTGGTAGAAGACAAGTTCTGTTGACGTTGTCAACGTATGTCACGTGGTATCACCCATCACCTCTTTATAAGGTGTTACCAATACGTGCCGCACATCACGTGTTAAACAATAAAAATAAAACTAAATTTAATCTGAAATATTGTAAGGGTTTCCTTATATTGGTGTTGGGAAAAGGAATGGAAATATTATATCACTTTAAGCCATTCGGCGAAAAAATTATAGTTAGCAGGTTGATTATTTCTTATTCCTTTTTGCGGTCACATCTAAGAACAATTTCTTTTACCTTTTTCTTACTGTGGTTGTGAATTTGACATGAAAATAGATGGTCAGTTTCTATGGTGATTACATCTGGTTGTAGTATATTTTGCAGTAACTGTTTTTTTAATTATGTCAATCTGCTAGTTAAGGAAGAGAGTAAGTCTCTCTAGTAAATTTAACCTCGTACAGGAATTCCTGGAAATTCCTGCTTCTCATACTTTTGATTATTCTCAGACTCGATTTTTAGAACAAAATTCTATGTCAAATTCACGATCAAGGAATATTTCTTAAATTCCAATTTAACACCTCAACACCTCGTTCTTCAAGGTGACCCTGAGTGTAAACAGCTTTTGCCTTTTCATTTTCGCACTGATTTTTGAATAGATAACCTGCGTAAGACCACGTCTCTGGGGGTGGTATTCGTGAACGCCCCTTCTTCTCTGAATTTTCTTTTTATTTTGTTGTTCTGTAACAATCCGCCTAAGGCTATTTTCTCTTACGATATCTTTTCAAGTATAATTCTAATTCCGTCAGTCAGTTAATTATAATTTTTATATTATCAATCTTGTTTCTGTTCTGGCTGATCTCAACTATAAAAATATGAAATCTACGGTAGAAAAGGATTTTGTAACTGCGTAAACAACTCGAAGGCGCATGCTCAGTATGCAAGAACTATCGTAGGTAACTTAACGTGATTCGCTGGTTGAGATCGAACGATGACGATGCAAGAAGATTGACAGCTTAGTAGTGTCACCTTTACCATCACCTTTATAAGCTGATGCACAGCATTTTTTAATCAGAATTGAACAGAGTTGAGTTGTACAGATCAGAGAGAAATTGAATTGAATAGAGTTGTGTTAAAAACTGAGCTAGTCCCAGAAAGAAAATTGTATTAAGAGTCCAGCCAAGAAATAAAGGAGTTCAACCGAGTGTTGGAAAAAGTGTCTAACACACGTACCATATCCCTTGCTTTGAGTCTCGGTGAAATTAAGTACTAATTAGAAGGTTTAATAATCGTTTGTCAAGTGACAAGAAGAGAGCGACGTACTTAATGTGGACAATTTTTATTTGGCCAATACAACAACAACAACAACAATTTTGTTTCTTTCACCATCTTTCCTTACAATATACGATATTATACCAAACTTATCATGTATTTATTTAAGAAGAAATAAATAAATGCAGAAAATGAATTAAATACCCACCCGAATGTAGCAAAGCTAATCGAGTCGGGTCGTTGCAGGCGTTCTTAAAATAGAAATGAATAAAGGCTGATAGTTTCGAAAGAAACTGTTTGGAGCTGCGTCGGTGGGAGTAACGAAATAATTTGGATATATCAACAAAGTTGAAATGGTAAATTGGCCACCGTACTGATTACAAAAGCTGACGTTTCGAGCGTTAGCCCTTCGTCGGAGCGAAAGGGCTAACGCGAAGGGCTAAAGCGAAACCCCATTCGCTCCGACGAAGGGCTAACGCTCGAAACGTCAGCTTTTGTAATCATTACGGTGGCCAATTTACCATTTCAATTTTGTTGATATATCCAAATCTTAAAATATATCAAGGAGGTTGAAAATAAAAATTACAAGGAGATTAAAATATTATTAATTTAGAAAAGTGAAATTGATTCAAACAAATATATGATTATGAGTAACAACGAAGCAAATAAAGTAAATTAAAGTATAAATAGTAACAGTAGGTTATTAATGTAAATAAACATAAAAGGTGCTATTTTAGTTCCATAAGTCCAGAAGTCGTTTTAGCAACAATCGTTTTTTTAGAGTCATAATTGTTTTCATTGTTGAGTAATTTTAACAAAAGTATACGGAATTTTTTCTAAAAGACCTTTCAGGCAAGGAGCTCAAGCTACATGGAAGATTATTCCATACTTTAGGACCAAGTCTTGAAAATGAAGAGAGTTGTTGGTAAAGCCTTGATTTGTTGACATAATAATTGCCAGCATTAGCAAATCTCGTAATGTATGTGTGAATTTTAAGAGATTGAGTAAAGAGATTTGATATTTTAGAGGATGCAATGTCGGATGGTACATCATGCATTTGGGCAGCCACAGTTTTAAGGTACAACACTTTGACCGGTAAAATATTTGCAGAATTAAATAGTGGTATAGTATGAGCTCTGTATTCCATACCATATATAAACCGAAGAACACGCTTTTGTAAAAGAAGAATTTTGTTCATATAAGTTTCAGCAGCTTGACCCCAAGTAACTATGCCATAGTGTATATAAGGAAATATCAAAGAATAATAGATTTTGAGGAGAGTATCAGACGGGACAAAACGTCTGATGTTGGCGATTACACCTACAGTTTTACTTATTTTGCAAACTATGCAATTAATGTGATGTTTCCAACTTAGAGTACTGTCAATAGTGACTCCCAAGTACTTCACGTATTCCTTATATTCCATGAAAGTGACAGTGTTAGTATTGTTATCAATTATTTTTAAGTCAATAGTTGAATTTAGTTTCTGTTGTGAGGGGCGGAAGATTACATAATTAGATTTCTTAGTATTCAAAGTTAATTTGTTAGTATTTAGCCAGTCAGTAATTATGTAACGTTTTTCAGCTCATTATTAGCAACAGTCTCAAGTTACAAATTATTAATGTGAAGATGAGATTGAAGAAAATACCTACCTCAAGGCACCTGTAGAAAAGCACGTCAATTGTGTCGAAGAAACTCCTCATGAACAACGAAACGTCGACTTTGAAGCTAGAATCAATGATTATGGGGATAACTTAAATATTGAAAATGAAATTACGGAACTGCGCCGTTTTCACACTGAGGCCAATTAAAATTTACAAAGAGAAAATACATAAGAGAATGTTCATGTGCTTAGCAATGTCCACTCCTATTTACAAAGAGACTACGTGAAAGAAATTGTTCATGAACTGAGAAATGTCCGCTGCCAAACCAATGAAATTTTAAACGAGGGGGAAATTTCTGCACATGGCAATGACGTGGACAACAGTTATTTGAATCACAATGATACAGAAACAAGAGGAGAATACAATTAAATTGGAGAAAAACTGTCAGCATACGTTGGCCTACGACAAAAATGATGCAATTATCGAAGTTTTGCGAATGGACTTGTTACATTTTGATGAAAAATTATCGAGTGGACAATTTCTAAAAGCTGACAGCGAAGAAACCAATGTATCTCACAAAACGAATTTCCAAATTACTCACAAGGACGATAACGATTTTCACTAAACCCAGTTTGCAAACAGTATCCACCAGGGGAATGGGAATATTCGGAAGGCATGTCTAACCCTGATCAAGTTAGACCCGAGTCCGTCACGCCCCTTATATCAACTCAGTTAGACGACCAGTTTCTGGCGGATTTTTCCAACTGCAGAGCGCTCTTTAGGTGAATCTTATCTCCAAAACCCAATTAAACTAGCGAACAAGTTATTATGACAGATGACAATATATTAAGGACTTTCTAAGCCTAATCACTTTTTATAGTTTAAGTCTGAACATCATAAACAAAAGTAAACCTAAATTATGATTAATTAAGACGTTCAAAGAAGCAAGCTCCATATATCTGGACGAACTGAGGGAAAGTTGTGTTTTTGGATTAAGGAGAAGTTACCAAAATAATTGTATCAAATGGTTTTATATCCATTGTATAGATTTATTTTAAGGTATGACAAGAGTTTTTTTTTTCAGTTGATATTGACTTTTATTGATTACTTTTTTAAATATTATGATTGTCGCGACCCTCTTTTACTTTCGCTTCCGCGAGGGACGCCATCACAGCGCGGCTGTTTGTCTCACTTTCCAGTCTCTATTATTTGATCAAAGTTCCACAGGCTCCTTCCCTTTGTTCAATCTTTCTGGTTAATAAGATTATCTTCGACTTGAAATTCAACAAATTAGCAGCGAATCATAAAGAAGCAACAACAAAATCTCAACTGCTCCGGTAGACGACAAGAGGGAGGAAACCGTAGGAAAAAAAGAAAAGTAAGTGAATCATGAAAACATAGTTTTCGTTCTCTTTTTCTCTTACTTTGTCTTGGTTTTATGATAGCACGACTGAGAGGTGAGAATCCTCATTTCAGATGTAGCTTTCCTGTATCAGATTGCATTTACAAATTGAACATAGTGTAGTGTAATCATTAGGTTACAGTCAGTTGACTTAATACAAATGAAAAAGGCTGTTATAACCCCAAATCTCTAACTTTCATTAATTAATATTTTCACCAGTTCCTTTCTTTTAAAAGATGTACACAACTTGAAAACCACGACGAACAAGTTCCAGAATTTAATATCAGTGAATACTTGCTTGTGATTTCCATCCTGCTCAATGCCCAGCGATATCTTACTAAGATCGGATCAATTTTCATCACTTGTCCACTGAGCATTTAAATAAAGGTTTGGGCTGATCGGGAAAAACTTTACTAAAAGTAACGTTTTGCTTCGATTATCTGAGCAATTTGGACATCTAATTTTGAATGAAAAAGCATTTCTTTAAGCCTCTACCAATACTAACAGTTGGATAGATCTGTTGGCAGGATTCCATTTGCTAGGGTTATCCTTGCCATTTTTTGTGTTTTGATTCAAATAGCTGCATAATACCGTTTCCGAATTGATAATCAACACTGTTGCACAGTCTGGTGCTTTTGTACCCCCTTTAAAATGGCTAATTGAGGCTCTCTTTTTATGTTCGCCTATTTAACAATATCTCTAGTAGTTAAGTTTTTGTCAACATAGGGCTTTTCAATTAATTTCTCGCTACGTGGGTCCAAAAACCAATTATCATCCTAAAAGCTGGTATTGTTTAAATGTAGGTGAAGTTACCCTGCATTGAATAATTTATTGATACCACTGGCGCTTTATTTCTCTGTGAGTTTTCTCCGGGTCTTTACTTGTTGCTATCATCATGAAATGTACCTAAAGTTGGCGAGTGTTCTTGGGTAAGGTCAGGATCATTTTCTTATACCTGCTGAAGTAACAGTGGTAAATTTATTTTTAAAGAAACTAACTGAAGATACATGCATTCTTACTGATTTCCACCATTGTTGTGTTTATTTTTCTGGATTTGTTTTTCTTGTCTTACTTTCGCGATCGTGCAACACAGAAATGTTTTTATTCGCGTTTAGAGCAGAATTCCAAGACACTACTTCGCATAAATGGTATCAAAAGATGTATGATATCGATTATAAAGCTGTGATTAGCCGTGATTCTAGATGCCTCCTTTTAACGTTGTCTTGGTTGGTTGACTGCTAAAGATTTCGTGATAACTTTACATTAATTTTTGTCAAATCCAATTACAAATCATTATCGCAATTAAAGCAAAAGTTTGAAAAACTAGATCCGTGAAGACTTGTCGGGACATAACTGATTGGAATAGGAAAAGGTTGAAAAACTAACAGTAGCCATGGCGCTTGGAATAAAAACGAACATAGCTTGCTGGAAATTTGCTTTGAAAGTAAAAGCTGAAAATGTTGTACAGAAGAATCACGCAACTATTCTTGACAATTGCTAAAATCATTAATACAGTCAATCATCCGGTTAGGTTTTCAAGTCTAAGCTATCTTTTTTTAAGAAGAGATGCGATTTTGGTATTACTTGTTCTAGCTTAAACGTTTTCTCTCTACACTGATAGTTTTTATAGGAACTAATCTCACGATTAGTGTTGTGCAATAATTTAACGAGAGAGATATACGTCACGCTTATCACGCAGTCTATTTTTCATAACGTTGCTATGGATAAGGTATTAGACGAGTCAGAATCTTCGCTGACACGTCAAAAAAAGAAAAAAGACTTTCTCAAAAAGAATGAAATACAAGCATTTCTTTTGTACGATTTCACTCACCCCCCTGGGAGAAAATTTTCGAGGGAGAGTTACGACAGAAATCATTCTTTCATTTCTTCAACTTTTAATCGTATAATTGTAATGGAAATACATTTCGCACAAAAAGTTACCTAAAAAAAGGGTTTGCATCAGGAAATACCACGAAGGAAATAACAGGTTTTGTTCTGGCACATCTCGTCTGCTCATAAGTCTTTAGCCACGAGACATGAGTAGTTTGGCCAATTTCCATTGTCCTCTTTGCCAGCTCAGTGTGGTGCATAGTTAGTTAACCTTGGAAAAATTCAGTGTTCCTTCAGCTTTACCTCCCACCTTTATCAATTACCACGTCTAGCACAATTCTAGGCCGCAACTTGTATGTATCTTATGTTAGATATGGTAAAAGCCTATAATCTGTCTGTTTTTCAGTTATCAATTTGCGATTAATACGAATACTAAATTTTGTCATCAAAGCCGCGTATATTTATTTAAAAAAAGGAACAAGGTTTGTTACCAATGAACAAGTTGAATTCTTCGAACGAGAGAAATACACTTAAAGTGAAGAGCAGAATATTCGACTGCTTTGGCTACACCACTGCTCATGGATACGGACGAGTCGCAGCAGCCACTGGTGAATCACGATTGAGAAAATGGTTCTGGTTATTGGCTTGTGCCGCCGCATACGGCGTGTTTACATATCAGCTTATGGATTTAGCATCTCAGTATTTGTCCAGACCATTAAAAACGAGGACCAGCATTGCACATGAACAGGTGAGCTGAGAAGTAAACTATCCGTGAAAGCGGCATTGAAATCCATGTGCTTTGATATGCATATAGGTTATATTTAGTTACGAGCTTCTCCTAAAAGCTTCCCAGGTAGAAAGAAAAACACTAATATTATGTATATCATAAGCAATGATCCAGCAGACCGCCAAATGTTCAGAGGGTCCAAAACTTTTACCCAAGCAAACGAAAGTGTCATGGTCCACGCAGCATACTTTTCTAAACAAAACCTTGGTTTGTGGTTGCTCAGTATTTTCCCTTTGAATACGTTTGGAACAGAACCAGGAAAATCCTGTGCTAAATGAAAAATAAACAATAGAAAGTTGACTTAAAATCAGTTACGGAAGACTTCTAGAGTACATTTTATGGCTTTGGCCTCTGTTTTCCCATTTCAGAACTTGCAGTATCGAATTTATTCCAAAATGGCATGCTGCTGCGTTGGGAATTCAAATTGAAGATGGCAAATCCTGCTTTTTACCGCATTTATGCAGCAATTATAATAATGATAATAATGGGTATATAAGGAAGGTGTAACGCGCCATTGAATATTCTTATCCCAAGAGGTAGAATGTAATATAACATACGACTTGTGGCCCAGATTAATAGCTGACTTTCTTACATGACGTGGTCATAAATGGAAACAGTAGAGCATTTTGTACTTTAGAAGTTATAAAACAAACGATATCATGGTAAGTAACGATTTATTTATCTTTCTACTTTTTTATAGAAATTGGCCTTCCCTCAGGTTACTATTTGTAACCTCAATAAGATCCGGAGGTCAAAACTACCGCAACAAATCATTGACGAATTTCCAGAAATTCTCGATAATGACCATGGAGAAAGTAAGACAATTTGATTTTCAGTCTCATTTGTGCTCCTTGTTATTATGATAATGATACATTTTTATATATTTCGGATCCAGCCAAAACACGCAACAAAACTACCACACCATCGCGACCTAATCATAATGATAGTCCAGCGGTTACGGATCTCGGTGATCTTCCTCCTTTGGAACAAGTAGTGGAAAAGACTCACCAACGACTTGCAGAGTATCCAGAGGCCGAGCTGGAGCAGTTAGGACATCAACTGGACGACATGATACTCACATGCTGGTTCAATGCTATAGAGTGCCTGTAAGTAACCAAAAGTCAAGGTAGGCTGCAATTTACATATAAGGTAAGCTATACTTATTTCGGAGATGGCAGCAGCGCTTTCTTAGCTGGTCTCTCGTTATTTCATTCCCCATCATTGGAGATTTCTTTTGATCTTAAGATAGTTCGCGGTGGTATGACGCGGTCTTTCGTCTCGACCAAGAGAATAATCCTCGTTGGGATCTCTCTCGAGGTCCCGTTGGAAAAATTCAAATGCTTGACGAGTTTTATTTAGTATTTGACGACGTCTAGATTTTAAGAAAGCCCCAATGATGTAAAGAATAGCGAGCAAAAGCAGAGAAAACTGATTGTCGAGCTCTATTTTTCGTGTCATTAAAAACAGAAGTCATCTCAGTTTCCATTATTTTGACCAGCATAGTTTCTTTAAATGACTTCCACCCGAGAATGTTTGTGTGTTGGTGAGAAAATATTCCATTAACAAAGCTGTGATCCTCAAACGATGATTGTTACCGTTTTAGTGATAGTAAGCAACACTTATGGATCCAATTTTGGCATCATAAGTATGGTAACTGTTACACGTTCAACCGAGGCACAGACGAGCACAATGAAAGAACGGAAATAATGACGTCATCCCTTCCTGGTCATGAAGGTGGTAAGTGGTTGATAAAATGATCCAAACGCCGATTATATTTTTCATGTGTTTTAAACGAAAGCCTTGGCTCGAATGTTAGGGTAACTTCATTCCACGTCACAACATTAATAAATTAATTGATTAATTGATTAATAATGGTAATTGAACTGAGTTGTATCAACTGAGCTGATAAAGTAAATTTGCCATCAAAAAGAGTTTCCAAGTGACGTTTCAAGCGTTAGCCTTTCGCTCTGACGAAGGGCTAGCGCTCGAAACGTCCTTTATTAATTGGTCGATTGATTGATTGCAGGTCTGACGTTAGATATCAACATTGAGCAATACGAATATATAGACCTGTTATCTCAAGAAGCAGGTGTTCGAGTGTTCGTTGCTTCACAGAACGACATGCCTTTTCCTTACGAACTAGGCCACAGTGCGCCACCTGGTTATGCCACAGCCATTCAGCTCAGAAAGGTGCTTAGAAGTTCTTTAACATCACCAAAATCAATTTATCATATCTCAGTTTTTATGTCTATTGAGGTGCTTAAGGGTTATACGGACAGGATAACGGACGACAAGAAAAATGCACCAAAATGGCCGAACAGATGCATCAATAAGTGGCAAACTCGTTCACAGCTGATATATCAGAGAGTTTGTTGAAATTGCTGATACTCTCTGACGCGGATGGAATTACCTATTTCATAGCAATCTCAACTAAGCACACAATAAGCTTTTTCAGTGGCAAATGTAAATTTTTTGCAGGTAGTGGTCGGGAGACTGGATCCTTTTCACAATCAGAGTTGTAAACCGGGTAAAGATATCAATGAAGATAATATATTTCGTCGCTTTAACGTCTCGTACGGCGATTTGGTGAGTTTATCTTTACTAATTCCTTATTTCCTAGTACGGTCTATCGTAAATACCTTACAGATGGACGATTGTATTCATATATTGATTTACATTTCATAAAATCATTTGTTAAGATTTTCCGAGAGACTTCTCTATTGGAAAATGACCTTTTGACATCTCTTTTGAACGCTTTGATTTGATAGACAGCCTGATTTTATGAAAATTATCATTTTTGCAGACCTGCAAGTTCTCATGTTTGGCTGTGATGATGAATAACATGTGTGGTTGTGTTATGTATGCACTGAAATACTCAGAACATCACACGAATGTTTGCGATGGCTCAGAGAAGGATACAGGTAGGCTGATAAGCTACTGCGTTGGGTAAAAAAGTCGAAAATGAGTTGGTAGATATTTCAACCAAGAATAACTGAGGAGTTTTGGACATCTTTACTGCACACTGGATTTACATTCGGCGAGTTATTCAGCCACCACCTTGTGGTATAGCTTTTACAGCGTTCGTATCACCGGTATGAGACAAATTATAATAACGATGATGTATTTTAAATTTCAGTCGCTTGTGTTAACTCTGCATTTGATAAATACGACCAAGGAGCATGTGAGAAGGACTGTCAAGAAGGCTGCTGGTAAACAAACTGCTCAATAAATAACACTTCATTCACGCCATGCCATTCACCATCAACATTTACTTATGAACAACGTTAAGGTCATTATCTTTCACTGCAATTTTCTGCTTATTTCTTCTTTTTCCGTTGAAAATCTTGATCTTGACTGATTCAGGAAAATGTCATTCAAAATTAATGGTCGAGAAATGCAAATCTTTTGAAACCAACTCCCAGTCTTCCAAGCCGTAGGCTGAGTGGTGGGTCAGTTACTCAACAAAGTTCTTGATAGATCTTCACTCGTCATCTTTGATGAATTTTCTAAATCTTGGTTAGGGTTTCTTCTTTGTTAGCGCTGGCTGCTTTTTTTTTTACTCATGATGACCGGTATTTTATTTTTCCAAGGGAGGACCTCTTTAAGACGACAGTGTCTCTTTCAAAATGGCCTTCTCGGCATTTTGAGGTATTATATATAACATTGTTGGAGTAAGAACCTCGTCGAAGTTAGGTAAACAGCTAGAAATGCCAACAACATGCATGAATAGTGCAACAAGGAGCTTCTGTTCCTGTACTCAGTAAATTTACAGAGTAAATACATTCTTAAAAGACTGACAGTTAATCAAACATTATGCAATATGGTAACACAAGCTACCATATGAGCCATTAAGAACATTCGATGATATATGTTTTCTTTGTTTTATAAAACTTTGTATAGAATACACTTGTGAGGTCGTTAGATGAAAAAGATCTTAAGAATTATTCCACTGCGTTAAGGTATGGCTAAGTTTGTTAAACTGTTGGGTAGCCAGCAAAAATTTAAGAAAACAATTTATGTGACCGGAAAAATTGAATTTTCTTTTAAAATGTGCGCAAGTGGCGGTCAGTGGTCCTTGTATGATAAAGCCACGTCGTGGTTGTGACCACTGTGACGTATTCGGAGGCAAAACACTTGACCTTCGAGAGCCCTTCTCATTGTAGGAGTGTAAATGAGTATCTACAAACTACCAGGTAAACCTGAAAAAATGCTGAAGATAAACCCAGATGAGTTCAACCGACATCCCACCTAAGGGACGGGAGGGATGGGAAAGCAATATTCTTAGTTCCTAGAGGACCGGGATAGACTTAAACAGCAATACAATGAGCTACATGTACCGTAACACCTTACCATAGAAATGTTCGACACCGATGGTATTTTTCCAATAATCTCTCTTTACCAGTGACAATTTCTTGAGGTTGAAAATTTATTACGGAGAACTCAACTATGAAGTAATGGCAGAGGAGCTTGCTTACGCAGTAAGTATACAACAGACAAAAATTTGGGTTTTCATTTACTCAGAATGTTTGATTTTAATAGTTGCCAACTTTAAAATAGACACCGTGGTCTAAATTAAAAGTACTACTTTGCTTTTATCTGTACAGCTATATGAAACTTTTTAGAAATAGGGCGATAAGTTGGGTTAAGTTCCAATTGGCAAATATGAAAAATATTGATTGTCAATACCTTTTGGTGTGCGCATAATCAGTAACTCATAGGACAAGATCAGTATGATCTCGAAGATGATGAAGCCGCATACTTTTAGTCCAAATGGTTATTATTTATTGGTAAGACACTGGAAGGAACGAATGTTATTCTTTTTAAATTTTGATCGTCAACAGCCAGCAAGATTCTTGTCAGATATTGGAGGAATCATGGGAATGTGGATTGGTATCTCTGCACTAACGTGTGTGGAATTTCTAGAGCTGTTGGCCTCCCTGTGTTCAATGATCCTGAGGAAAGTCAAACAGAAAGAGACTAATGTGATCGAAGTACAGCCGAGTGATAATTATGCATAGGAAATCAAATTTAATGCTGAAAATTCAAACGATAATATAAATGCACTGGGACGAAATCTATACAAAATAGGGCACTATTCTCGGTTTTCAGCTGACGTCATTAGCTTATGCAAATCAGATTTCCGCCATGTAAAGTAAATTTTGTCTACAAAAAAAATAATGCAACAATAAAACTGTTAAAAACTACTACAATGTGGCGGCCTGCAAATCTTAAACTACAACACTGTGGTAGCGTGCAAATTTTAAACTACTACACTGTACCCCAAATTTTTAAATTCGAGGTATGCCACTGGCTATGACTCTAAACTACACTTCACAGTTGAATAAATTTTGCAATTTAGTCCTACCCCACTAAGGATGAACAATGACATATGTGAATACCTATCATGAATGGAAATGTGCATATCTTTTAATTTTTGTTCCTTGGGTGCCTCATTGGGTAATAAAAGTGGTTAGTTTCCAAATGGCAACTTAACTAATATGTTCTCTTAATAACTTATTACAACCAAATGTACTAATCAAGACCTGGGATCAGTTAAAAAAAAATTTACAGTTGTAATTCATAAGTGTTTCTATTGTTTCAGAGGTTGAAAACAATAGCTATGTACCGCTGTAAATTACACTTGTAAGAATTTTATTCAATTGACCCCTGAATAANTAATGTTCTCTTAATAACTTATTACAACCAAATGTACTAATCAAGACCTGGGATCAGTTAAAAAAAACTTTTACAGTTGTAATTCATAAGTGTTTCTATTGTTTCAGAGGTTGAAAACTATAGCTATGTACAGCTGTAAATTACACTTGTAAGAATTTTATTGAATTGACCCTGAATAACATTCATACAAAACTTTCCCTTTATTTTGTTGTTGTTTTTTTGTTTGCAAAAGCAAAATTCAAAGAAAATGTTGTACCTATACACCTCAAAGGGGAAAGTAGATTTCAAAGGGCAGAGTTCATTACCTTATTTTACATATAGCTCCAAGTCAACATACACATCTTCAGAGTTAACTCCAATATTTACTTTCGATCTTTTGCACTTGCAAACTGTTTTCACACAGTGGTAATAAACTTACATGTATTATTTCTTGATTTTTACATGTGTCACTTTATTTTCGCTTCATGTCATGTTCATGACAATTATTTTTTGTAACACTTAAATTTTGCAATTTTAAAAAGTAAGGTGTCGTAAAAATGTCATGTAGTTTAGGTAACTTGAAAGCTCGTTGATTAAGCAAATTTGGAAGCAAAACTTTGCAGCTTTAACTCATATCAGGAGTTAAGTCATAATATCATATCCTATTGTATCCTGATAGTTTTCTTTGAGCTGCACTTTGCTAGATTTTTATTACACCCCCTGAAATAATTTAAAACGCCCAGGTGGCTTAATAGAAGACTTGAGGTATCTAAATGTGAAGTTGATCTAATCAAATGGCACAATCGGAGGACAGAAATTAACAAGCGCTGCACAAACTCTTATCATATAATCCACCGATGCAGTACGCCTGTCACATAGAGTTTTCATGATTACATATCAGAAAGGCAGTTGGCAAGGTACCTTCCAAGATTGTAAATTTCCGTCTAAGCAGTCCAAATAACACGTTCAACATGAATTCTAACATTCGCAATGCCTCTTGTCGGCTCAACGTCCACTGGGTCGAGCTGAGATTTACCCTTTAGCTAACTGCTATGGCCGCCAGATGAGAAGAAAAGGCCTCCTCATTCCCCTCTTTTCGATTTTCCTCTTCTTCTTCTGTCGAAGTACTTGGCTGACTAAAGTCGATTTGAGCAACAGGAAGGCTGCTTTCCACAAGCTTCGACGTTTCTCTGCCGCTTCGCGTTCTTGTCGTTCGACAGCAAGAATCTCTCGCTTCTTTGACCTAACAGCTCTCTTTGCGTTCGCATCATGGTCTAATTTAGGGCGGAGTCTGATTTTCGCTATTGCTTAAATAACGCTGTCTACTGCGAGGATCGTGCATCATATGTATCTAATACTGCAGTTCAAAATATATGAACTTCATATATTTCATTGTATCTGATTTATCACTTTCACGGGTTTATTACGAATCAACTTAACGGCCTACTCCCAGTTGGCTTGTTAGCTCAATTGGTAGAGCGCTGCACTAGTATCGCAGAGGTCAGTGGTTCGAATCCCGTACAGGCCTGATTTTTTTCAGGTCTGATTTTCGCTATTGCTTAAATAGCGCTATCTACTGCGAGGATCGTGCATCATACGTATCTAATACCGCAGTTCAAAATATATGAACTTCATATATTTCATTGTATCTGATTTATCACTTTCACGGGTTTATTACGAATCAACTTAACGGCCTACTCCCAGTTGGCTTGTTAGCTCAATTGGTAGAGCGCTGCACTAGTATCGCAGAGGTCAGTGGTTCGAATCCCGTACAGGCCTGATTTTTTTCAGGTCTGATTTTCGCTATTGCTTAAATAGCGCTATCTACTGCGAGGATCGTGCATCATACGTATCTAATACCGCAGTTCAAAATATATGAACTTCATATATTTCATTGTATCTGATTTATCACTTTCACGGGTTTATTACGAATCAACTTAACGGCCTACTCCCAGTTGGCTTGTTAGCTCAATTGGTAGAGCGCTGCACTAGTATCGCAGAGGTCAGTGGTTCGAATCCCGTACAGGCCTGATTTTTTTCAGGTCTGATTTTCGCTATTGCTTAAATAGCGCTATCTACTGCGAGGATCGTGCATCATACGTATCTAATACCGCAGTTCAAAATATATGAACTTCATATATTTCATTGTATCTGATTTATCACTTTCACGGGTTTATTACGAATCAACTTAACGGCCTGCTCCCAGTTGGCTTGTTAGCTCAATTGGTAGAGCGCTGCACTAGTATCGCAGAGGTCAGTGGTTCGAATCCCGTACAGGCCTGATTTTTTTCAGGTCTGATTTTCGCTATTGCTTAAATAGCGCTATCTACTGCGAGGATCGTGCATCATACGTATCTAATACCGCAGTTCAAAATATATGAACTTCATATATTTCATTGTATCTGATTTATCACTTTCACGGGTTTATTACGAATCAACTTAACGGCCTGCTCCCAGTTGGCTTGTTAGCTCAATTGGTAGAGCGCTGCACTAGTATCGCAGAGGTCAGTGGTTCGAATCCCGTACAGGCCTGATTTTTTTCAGGTCTGATTTTCGCTATTGCTTAAATAGCGCTATCTACTGCGAGGATCGTGCATCATACGTATCTAATACCGCAGTTCAAAATATATGAACTTCATATATTTCATTGTATCTGATTTATCACTTTCACGGGTTTATTACGAATCAACTTAACGGCCTGCTCCCAGTTGGCNTCAAGAATGTAGGTGTATGAATTCAGATTCATGCTAATGCTTACAATAATATTTACACTGCATTGATCATATTCAAGAGAAAGTGATTCCCATAATGGGCATGAAAGTCATTCAGCTGTTTGCTTTACAACATTATTGACATTGCTAGGTTGTAACGGTAAAGATATTGGAGGTAAACTTCATTACCTTGCAGTACAAGTACTCTATGAATATAAGAATAAATGTCGCGAGCTTGTAGTTCTGAGTTGATTGTTCAAATGTTGTGCACGAATTGTAAGATACTCACCTCTCCCAGGATTTGATTTCTATGCAACCTGCAATGTGTGCCAGACAAAAACTAAATTTATGAGGCACTCAACATTTCAAAGTAAAATCCTTCAATAAAACCTACACTTACCGTCAATGCTTTTTGCTCCGACGATCGCGTTCGAATAGCACGTACTACTAGTTGCCAGACCCTTTTAATTCCCTTTACTCCGCCATTTTGAATTCTCAGGTGCGTTACCGCTGTACACCCGTTCCCCGTTCCCCGTTCCCCGTTACCAATTTTAGTAACATCCAACATAAAATAACTTTTTTAATTTTAATAATACTTTAATACTTAGAACGCGCATATATTCATCTGCATGTGCTCATATGCGCGCATATAAAATATCTTCGCAAATTCTCCGCAGTAGTAAATAGAGGTGGTCCACGGGATGTCGATATAAGCTGCAAACAAGAAACTACAAAACATCCGTAAATCATGTGACATACCGCAGAAAAATATCGATTCTGAAATTTCCTGACTTTGACGACAAAAACTTGATATAATGATGAATACAGACTGCTAACGTGAATCGGTGAGACAGGACTATGTCTTTCAAATTCCAAAAGAATTATAAAATTTGTAAATTAATGTTGTAAGTTACAGATGAATCAATAAATAAGACTTGAGAACCCTTCAAATCTGTGGGTCTATTTAAGCACAGCAGGAATCAAAACTGATTACGAATCACTAAATACAGCCACAACAAAACTGATAATCCACGCAAATACATTTACCTGAAAATTTACAGATGTGAATTATTAATCTCCATCCCTCCCGTCTCGACAACATTCCACTTCAATTGATTTTGGATGGAACAGAATCTTAGCCGTCAACGGTAAGTTTGCAGTAAATTCTTAAAATAATTCTGATTGATAAGAACATTTTAAGATTATTGATTTACTTAATAATTTTACCAAGCTAAGCTGAAAACGATGATGTTGTTTATTAATAGCTTCCGCAGATAAACAAAAAAATTTGTTCAAACGCCCATATTTGTAGATTACCGGAGGTGACTCACTGACAGCGATAAGTACTAACGTTCTATTATGGTCCAGACGCACAGATTCGTCGTACAAGGGCATTGATTTTTTTTTTGATATAACTTGAGTACATAACTGCTTCCAAAAATTTATCAACCAGGTCATTCTTGGACAATTAATGAGAACGGTTTCAGTTTAGGATAACTCCTATCTTCTAAAAAGAAATGAGAAAATATTATGAGTTGTATCGCTTTATTATCAACCGCATTAGTTCTACTCTGATAACAAATGAAAACTACTAACTAAATTAAATGTTTATATGCCCGACGTTGTGGAATAACTGACTTCATCGTTAAAAATGGCTTATATATCCATAACGAATCAGGATCTACTCTGCCATTTTCTATCTTTTAGAGTTACCACTTTTTGAATATTTGTTTGCGCTTTCAACTCGTTGACTTGCACAGTTCACATTGATATTCAACTAACAGTAGCTATTGGATATTTTGAAGAGCGTATTAACAAAACAAGTCTAAAAGACAGCTGCACACACGCTGCCAAAATGTTTTTGAAAGACTGGCATATTACACATTTTTCACCTCTGAGAATGATAAAAAAAAAAAGTAACAGCGTCAAGGCAACTGAAACAGCGCAATTTTGGTAAGTGAACGTTATTCTTGGTTAGACACCAATCACTAATCCGTTCAAAGAACGATACAAACATTTTTCATGTTAAGCGGATAACCAATCAAATTAAATTCGCCGTTAGAGATTTTAATTATAGTTTTAGTGAGACACTCTATCTCATCCACACCGAACGAGAGAGAGGGGAAAAAATCGTTCAGCGTGAGCGTGTTTAACGTGTGTGCTTTTAAAATATGAAAGCTTAATCCCTTTCTACCAATCGATCTGGAATTTTTTTCGTGTTTAATGGAATTATGCTTTACATTTTCTAAAGAATTCAATCAGTCATTTAATTTTGCTCAGATTGTTTCCTTTTTTTAATAGTCCTATTGATTTTTCTCATCGTTACAGATATAAAACTAGATGAGATGATATAAAAACCAAACAAAAGAAATGTCCTCACTTTCGATCAAACCGAGTCAAAAAAATACCTTACGGATTAAGATAAAAGCAAAACTTCTAGCGTGTTTTGGTGACACAACTGCACACGGCTATGGACGGGTGGCCAGCGCAGATTCCCGACCGTTAAGGTGGTTCTGGATTTTGGTTTGTGCAGCCGCAGTCGCAGCTTTTTCTCAGCAGCTGTACGGTATAACAAAACAATATATGTCAAGGCCTCTTAAAGTTAGAGTGAGCATTGGACACGAGGAGGTAAAACATGTCAAGTTTATACATAGATAAGATAATTTCTGTTTTCATGGAGGCAGAAGTTGTTATATAAGAACTCAGACTCAATTTTGTAACTCTATATCTTTGTCCTATTAAGTCTTATCTCATTTAATAAAATTAACTGTAACTTTCTTATCTTTACTTAGTCCTACTTGCTAACTTTAGAGACCTTATCCAAAACATTCTTTACAACTCTATTAGAAAAATATGTCCTACCAATCAATGTTTGTGCGTGAAACAAACTGCCATAGTAGATATACCAATACTTTAGCCTGAGTCCTTCGACTCTCCCTGCTCGGTCAAACGCTGCTTTGAGGCACTCACCAAGAATGTAAGTCTCTCGCTCCCGGCCCACACCTTCCCAGGCTGCCCATGAACAACGATTGAAGGGGGGGGAGGGGGGCTAATGATCAGTTCGGGCTGTTATTATTTGCATTTGTACCATTATATATTCTAACTGAGGAAAAATAAATTTTGATAGATGTAGAACTGAACACCCTATACATTAAATAACACATCATAGGCGGTATTTTTTTCTTTTTCCTCAGAAACTCACGTTTCCCCAAGTCACGGTTTGCAATTTAAACATGATTCGTCGATCACATATTCCAGTGGACATTGTAACAGAGTTCCCTCAGATTCTAGATGGACGTAAGTCTCAACTGCACGTTCAAATGATGTCCTTCATTTTCTAAATTTCAGTTTATCTTTCCTACTTTCCTCAGTCATCTCTCTTGTTAGGCTTGATGGTGGCTTATTACTTTGGTTTTTTAACTTTACATTCCGTAAGTGAATTTTAAAGACTCAGGTTTCATCAGATTAATCCAATATGTTATACATGATATCTATTATATGCCACACGTCAGGTAAATAAGGTCCATTTCCATACTGAAAGCAACCGTATGTACGCCATTTTTAAAGGATCCATCAAAAGAAATTCCTCAAAGGCTGCAAACAATGCATCCTTTGATTCCAGTGAAGGACAAACGGTGGTGCATTTTTCTGAACTTTCGGAGGAAGAGACAATAATTCAAAGTGTTCTGCAAAAGCTGGCTGATAGACCCGAAGAGAAGCTTATGAAATATGGCCATCAAATAGAAGACATGATACTCAACTGCAAGTTTCATAGACGTGAATGTCTGTAAGTTGAATGAGGGCCTCCTACCTGTATCAATAAAAATAAATGTCGAAACAAAAATAATCCTCACAACACAATTTTGATGACGGTTTTAATCTGATTCCTAGGTGAATACAACAAATACTAAATTGTTTTGCACTAAATAGTTAATGCACAATAGACGCTAACCATGTTTATGTCCACTTGAAAACCATGTCCACCTCTTTCAGAATACCCAGCAATTATGGACATCATAATTGTATTCCATTCGTAGAATTGATAGAACTGGGCACCACAAGTTATGAAACCTTGATTATATAATTTTCGTAACATGTGTTTCCGGTTTAAGGGACAGACATGCGGACATGCGCAAATACTGGACCCAGTTCTGGCACACACGTTATGGGAACTGTTATTCCTTCAACAAAGGAGTGGACAAGAATGGGACATATACACCTTTGATGACATCAGCGCAGACTGGATTAGGTCAGTACTAAAATATTCCTTACTTTCTTGCTTTTTGATGCATGCGTAGAACTTTACCTCAACTGAATTAGAAATTTTTCCAAAGAAAGTTCAGATCATTGATAAAAGAAGATGTCGAGCAGAGGGTAGCAGGATTGATGACGAATGAATGACTTACATCAGATATATTCTCTGTCAGGTTTGACCCTGGAGATAAACATTGAACAAGATGAGTATATTAGTCAACTTTCCCAAGAGGCTGGTGTCCGAGTTTTCCTTGGAGGTCAGGAGGAAATGCCATTTCCACGTGAGCAAGGAATAAGTGTGGCTCCTGGATATTCCACCGCCATTCAGCTCCGCAAGGTCAGATACTGAACTATGATTTCTTTTTCGCAACAAGCGCAGTCAAGAACGTGGCTGCCAGGATAGCAATATTTCAAATAGGAAATCAACGTACCTATCTTGATTATGTGTATTTTCTATTCCCAAGGGCTAACTAATTCACTGTCGGCTTTTATTATTCAACGACCAAGACTACATTAGTACATTTTCCACTTTATCATGGACATGCACTCTATCTTAAATGCAGTAAAATGAAAGCTTAGCTTAGGACATGTTTGTACAAACTAATCAGCTTCCAGTAATTTTACGGGCACAGAGAGGTTATTGGTCGATATGCCGTAGAATACTGCAACTCCGGCACTTTTTTTTCTAGGTGATAATTAAAAGACTCGATCCGTTCCGTAACAGCAGCTGTGAGAGCAGAAACGATCGATTCCAGGAAAGCATATTTGGACGATACAATGTGACTTATTCCACCACAGTGAGTTCCTTGTTTATCTTAAGCGATTAGTTTCAAATCTTATTGGATTTACAACATTGAAAAATACACTAGAACCAGAATCCGCAATTAAGTTCGTTTTTATCGAACTTTTTTACGCTCGTTAATCTGGAAAGGTTTTATAAAATGATGTTGCAATGATATCTCAAGAAAACCCGTATTCTGTTTTCAGGCCTGCAAGATATCTTGCCTGGTCCAAGCGATGAAGTCTAACTGTGGCTGTGTTATCTATGAGCTGAAATACAGTAACATTCCTGTTTGTAACGTGGAAAACACAGACATTGGTAAGCTGTATCCCTTAGGTATCATTCACTGATTTTTGTCAATGTACACTTGAACAACGAATAACTTAAAACCCAAGGCGAAACTCAACAACACATCGCGAGCTGCGTATTTCGTACTCACCTCAGCATGGGATTTAACTTTGCAGTCAAATGTGTTAACAAGGTTTACAAGAGCTTTGACGATGGAAATTGTTCCAGATGCCAAGAAAGATGCAGGTAATGTTGTATGGCTTCGGTACTTATGCTTATGTTGTCGATGCAAACTAGCCTTACTCGTTGACTTCATTCGTTTCCAGGGAAACCATATTTAAGACAACAGTATCCCTTGCAAAATGGCCGTCAAAACAATATCGCGTGAGTAGAGTTGGATTTTTAACTAGTTTCTCGCAGCGCTGCAACTTGTCAACATTGATTTACTTCATACATCATCAGATATTTTTGTCACTGATATGTTTTCTTTCACATGTAGGATACTCTTATCACAAAAATAAACGAAGAAAATCATCATAATCACTCAGGCGAGACAAGGTAAATACATTTTCCTCGTCTTTAGATAATAATCGAGATTGTTTTCACGTTTTTTAAGACTAATACTGGACGAAGAGAGATCGACACCAAAGGCCTGGAAACAAATAAATTAAGTGTAAGCTTCAGTACAGCCAGCAGGCGAAACTTTGCTCGCTGAGTCTTGATTTTCTAATTGCAGTGACCACTTTCTGAAGCTTAAGATCTACTATGGACAACTTGATTTCGAAGTCATCGAGGAAGAAGAAGCTTACTCGGTATGAGTTTCTGATGGAGATACAAATTTACGATTATTCTTCGCATTTGTTCGCCACTCTTTCTTATGATTATCAAGTGACGGATAACCGGTTCTGCAGCAATGTAAAAGTCTGAGGTACACTGAGGCATGAATAGGCATACTGACTTCTCTTAATTGAAAGCGATATTAATAAGACAATGATGCTTGGTATCTTGTTTTCCTTTGCGATTCGTGCCGCTTAGTTTTGGATCGCAGGCGCTGTTTATATCATTTAACATTGTCTATGCTTTACAGTGGCCATGGAAATGGTTTTTGATGGCGTTTTTTCGTTTTTTTCTTTGTTTCGGTCATTGCCTTCGCCTTTGCTTTAGATCTGAGTTTTTTTCACATTTACCTTTGTTTTGATTGCATCGCCATTTTATGTATTTATTTATAACAACTTTATTGTAATAATCAATACAAAAGGCTGCCATCAGAGAGGAACTGAATCCTCATGTAAGATGACCCCCAATACCTCGTATGAACGTGATTTGGAGTGCATTTTACATAAACAATTTCATTATTTTTCAACAGATTCCAAGCTTTCTGTCTGATATTGGTGGTCTAATGGGAATGTGGATAGGGATCTCAGTATTAACTATTGTGGAGTTATTAGAACTTATTATAACTCTGTGCATCACAGTTTTTAAGATGTATCTCAAGAGGGCGGATAGAGTGAGAAACATAAAGTTAATGAATAACAGTGGAAAGGTTCCTTAAAATCACGCAGAACACTGCATGCTTAATAAAGGACATTGATCATTGAGGTAGTCTTCGCTGATATCAGCTCAGAGGTCTCTGTTGATCACAATTTCCACTTGAAGTGTTTTAAAAGGCCTGTAATTATTGGACAACTCTTAGGGAAACACAGAAAACCTCAGCTCACTTTTCTTTTTTCACTTATCTCTGCTAAAACTGTCAGTGTAGCTAAGGAAGCTGAGGGAGGCGATGGGAGGAGGTTAAGGAAATACCTTTTAATTATTTTTTGTCGTCAAGTAAAACCGCGAAATCAGAAAACTGAAAATTGGAAGAGACCAGGCCTCAGAAATAAGGCACTAGGTAAATTCTTGAGAATACTTACTGACATGTGTATAAACTCATCACACACAGATCTCCTTACACAGGATTTTGAGAGTCATCTCTCCCTCACATTCAATTCACCCCGCCCGCTTTAACAGCGGACTAAATAATTGATTTAATACGATTCCCTACAGGCCTAGGGAGTAAGAGACAAATATATGTTCTCGCATGGAAATGAAAAGTGTTTATGTAGAAGGTGTGATTAGTCGAAACAAGCTTCCCTCAATAAATCAAACCTCCTGTGCCTTCATTTCATTGCACGCTTTATAATTTCTCATTTAATAACTGAGAAAACAGCTGTATTGATATTACTCCTAAGACAAACTTTGTTATGAACAAAAGCCAGTGCTAGAGCTTATGCTGATAGTGACATTTAATATTGCCTTTTGGACCACGCATCTGCATGATGAGATTATTCAAACTTGAACAATTTTAATTCTGGGTTTATTTGTTGCAGTAGAAAATTAAAATTTGACCAATTTTGATACCATTGGTTAATTCAGTGATGCAGTATGACAATTACATCGATAAATATACATATACACATTGTCTCTTTTTTTTTTTTATTGTTATTTTGTTTCTCATCCCTCCTAATCTCCATATTAACAACAGCTTCGCTGTCTCGCATGTTTCAATAAAAGAAGCGGTTGATTTCTCAGTTATTGTCAACGACAAAAGAGTTAGTCCAGTGGCCTATGCTGCCAAAGCAGCTAGATGCTCAACCTTGGGAAAGACTTCTGCGATAACTTTGAATATATCAAGCGAATGATCGCAACAAGAGGTACATAATTCTGCTGACGGAAAAATTTACAAAAATAGGTTTGATAATGCGATGCATGTCTAGTTTAGTTTGTTAGTTTGAGATTGAATAACACGCAACAAGGAACATACCACTTTTCAACGATGCCAAAGTAAAGAGCTTAGAAATATGATCTTAAGAAATGAGGATAGAGGATATCACAATATATAGGGGTTTTTATTCTGTGGTCTTTTCGAGATGTCAGTCACGAAATACCTTAAGCATACATTAAGCTTGAAAAACGGTTTTAAGTTGTCGATTTTTGACTCGTGAATATCTACAATATTCTAGATCTTGGTCATCGCAAAAATGTGCTGAATCGGTTAACTTGATTTTAACTAACGTAAATGTTGAAAATGGTCGATGTCAGCCCCTCGATTAACTATGGTCAGCCTTAAGTCATAATCAAATGTAATTTTGATCTAGTCTGACTTCTTTCGACTTGGTCCAGGATAAGTACTACAGGTTTATATTACATGTGTATATATATATATATAGGAAGTCTGCAAGTCGATTTTCGCGTGGAACAGTGCTCAATACGTTGAAGCAGAGCAGAATAAATATTATGAGAGGAAAAAAGGACGTAACTACATTTCCCGACAAGCCTGTTTCGTGAATCGCTTCACTCTTCAGGGGTTTAATGAAAGAATATTCATGTGACTATCGTTTATATACTAGGAAAATTTGCATAATGCGCGGTAAACTTAAAAACTTTAAAGTTCAGTTGTTGCGTAGCAACGCTTTGTTTCTGTGTCGGCATGAAGATACGAGTTCGTTACGCTTATTTAGTGATGAGAGGTCGGGTCGGTAAATTATCAGGAATTTTTCTTTTAGGCAGAGGTTGCATCTTTTATTGGAGCTGTTGTAGGGAGAGTTAGATGATAAGATGCGCCATGAGATAGAATAGTCAATGTTGTCGTTCTTGAGTGTCCAGATGTGTTTGCTAAGTTCGGTAGAGTTTTTGTGCTTGGCGTGGCGGAATGATGCGGTGTGATTTCTGTGTCTTGTTTTGAAGTCGGTTTCTGTGAGTCCGATGTATGTTTCAGAGGTGTTGTTGTCGTTCCGTGTGACGGTGGCTTGATAAACGACTGAGGATTGAAGGCAGTTACCATTGAGCGGGCAATTGTTCTTTTGTCGGCAGTTGCATGTTTTGTTGGTTTCCGTGCCGTCTTTGTTGTCTTTCGTGTAAGGTGAGTGGGACGAGTGTAAGATGCGCTTGTTGTGGTTGTCGATGACCTGTTTGGTGTTGTTCATACAGCTGTAACTGATTTTGATGGTGTTGCGGTTAAATATTTTGCGGAGGCTGTG